AAGTTGCACTCATACAAAATTCAACAATTTCGAAATTATTAGCATGGCTATATCCAAGTTTTGAAAAAACTATATTTTGCATTAGGGCTAGTGACATGACATTTAAATTAATTAAAATGGATTTGGTTATCTTTGTGCAATTATGCATTATTTATGCCTATTATGTTTATAAATATTATATTACATACCACTTTTGCTGCTATATGAAGTGGTTTTTATCTTAAAAATGTTGAAGGCCGCTCCGGAATAATAACATCACTGTCACAGCTGTTATTTAAACGACCTATATTCACGCATATTACAAAATTCTAGGATAAAACAAGTGCCAAAATATTTTTCCATAATCATGATAATATAATAAAACAAATTTATTTTTAACTATATAATTCTCGACACCCACTAACCGTTTGAAAATGAATAATATTATTATCACTTTATTGGCCTGGTTGGCGGATTATATACGCCTTCCGCCAATACGAAAATAGTTTACACAGAATAATGCACACAGTACACAATAGTAAATTATTTTTTTTTTTTTAGATTTTGAGAGGAGCAAGGAAGCTAGTGGTTTTACAATGGTGTTTATTTATATCCTGTATACAAAATATCTACTAGAAGGAGTGCTTCGATTTCAACATATTATAGTACCTTATCTTTTAGCAAATTGGATCAAGATGGTACTTTAAAAAGGTAATTTTTCGATTTTCTCAATAGTTCATTAATGCCACAGGAAAAACCACCGACAAATTACGAAAAACCGCTAAAAATGGGTTTGACAAAATAACATAAAAAAAACAGTTACCGTTTCATTACATTAACTGGATTAACAAGTCATTTTTATTATTCACATCGGTACCCATAAAAAAAAATATAACAACACTATTTTTTTTGTAAACACGTTAGTCGAACCCGTGTGCTGTGAAGGTGTGTGTCGTAAACACTTTTTTTTGTGAAATTCTAAAGCACCTATTTTTTTAATATATGCGGGTCTATACTCTATACACACCTCTTGCAACTCGTATTACACGACGCAGTTTCGTTCACTAAACACGAAAATAGAGCCTATACAATATACATAATAATATGTCAGTGGGCAGTCAGAACCTACCTACATATATGCATTATATACATGAACTTTCAGCAATACATAATTATATAATTATTTATAATTCAACTTATTATATGATTTCTTCTCTATAACTTATAAATCGATAGGTACATATTTTTAATACTATGTGTATGATTTGAATGCCCTCGATGAATATATAGATATATTATAGAGGTAACTAAATGAATTGTTATAATCGATGCACTATTTTTTTTTTTATAGTCTTGACGCGTGATACTGTGGAGTGCAGTAGAATGATTGGGTGGAGGGTGTAATATCCAATCTAAATAAATAATTATTCAATATGATTAGGTATGCGCTATACCTATTGATATTTGATGTACGAAATGTCGAATTGGCATTTCAGCGTTTGGTGCTGAAACTACATAAAAAGTGGAATTTTTAATATAGGTATAGGTACCTACTTTTTTTTAGTTTAACAAAAAGCCTCATACCACAAAATACGTTTGAGTATAAAATGTAATATATCATATTATGTACAACTACTCGAATACATTGAAAGATAGCAATAGGTATAGCTGGTACCTATGTAAAAAATATATATTAAAAAGTTCGAGTTAGCGTGAAAAAAGAGGAGACACAGCCCTGGGGAGACAAATAATTTATTGCGAGTTAGATCGCACGGAGCGAAACCCTTTTTGAGTATCGTAATATACAATATCTCAATTTTATTTTATTCCCGCAATAATCACACTATGTTTCACTTGCAATGCTCTACTCGGAAAATCTAAATTTACTAGGGAACATTCCAGGGAAATTGTACAGTCACTGTTCATCAATTTGCAACTCACACAAAACAATTTACCGTGTAGGTATACAAAACTTTAATCACACAATTTTTTTAAAACCTTATCATATAAACTGAAATTATTTTAGATTCTGAGCGAAGCGATGAATGTATTGATTTTACAATGACGTGTGTTTTTAAAATTTTTTTATTTGTTTTAAATTTTAAATTTTTATATTTGTGTCTGTCACTACCGTTTGGGGGCTTGCTTCGATAGTAAAACTGCTTTGATTTTAAAACTTTCACATTTAAAGTTTAATAATTATTTGTAGTTAAAAATGTACCTATTAAATGTTCAACATTTATAGCTAGGATTGGAAAATTTACAAGGTTCCACGTGAATACCTATGTAATTATATGTAAATACATTACTTTTTTCACAAGAATATCATCAAATATACTTAGTTAGTAATATCAATACATCATTATAGGCTGACTAACCCGTAACCGTCTTCGCTCAGAATCGTTTTTCTTATACAATGTTGTATAATATCATTGATTCAAATTCAACCATCAATTACAGTGACCACTTATAAGTTGTACCTACTGTACTGCAGCAGAGCGACACCCACTTGCCCACCTTTTTTTTTTAATTACAATTTCTATTTCTTTAAATGTTAAATGTATTACTAAATTATTTTATTTAGTTCTAAATGTTATTTTAATATATTACTGTGTATACAACAAGTATTATAGTCATCATCGACACAAATACACAATTTCACAGTCTGACTCTTGTGGACAGTGGCGTGGCGAACGGTAATTTCAGAGGCCTTGGCCTCTAAAATTTTCTTTAAATAGAGGGGTGGGTGGTAGCCAGTGGGTCCCCTAGTAAATTGAATATGATATTCTCAATAGGTAGTCAATAACGATCTGAAATATAACTTGTTATATTACATTAATACATTATTATGCATAAATACTTGGGATATTTGTAACTGGCCTCTGGAAAATTTTTAGTTCGCCACGCCACTGCTTGTGGATAGATGTGGTGTACCCACTTTTCACTATACTTTTACGTAAATTAATGTGGGGTTCATAGGAAAATAGTTATGATAATTATTATTTTATATTCTGAGCCTAGCAATTTTCATGTACTGATTTTAAAATGATGTGTGAGTCACAGATATATTGTTTATATCTGTGGTGTGAGTAGTATATACTTGCCAATCCTGGGACAACTCGTCCTCGTCCTCGTCTTTTGCTCGTCCTATTGTGTTCATCGTAGTTTCAGCTCGTCGGAAACATAGCCGATGTATTTTATTCGCACACACATGCACACGAGAAACGACGATGAACACAAAAGGACGAGCAAAAGACAAGCAAAAGACGAGGACGAGGACGAGTTGTCCCAGGATTGGCAAATATATATACTACTTGTGTGCGTATTTTTTTAATTCCCTTTGCAGTCTTCACTTTTCTGTCTGTTCTCACATTTTGGGACAGAAAAAATGTCACCACACCGGTAAACATAATATACTTCTTTCACGTTGCCAAAACCTTCAATATTATATAATTTTATTATTGAAATTTAGTATACGTAACAAAAAAATGTTGTGAATTTTACACTCCCTGCACTTGATTATAATCATGTTCAATGGGGCCATTATTATGTTGAAATAAATAAAATCGTACTATATTTAATGCGAAAAACCAGAATAGACATGTAAGTTGTATGTAACTGAGTATAAACAGAACAATTTAATTACATCATAATTTAATGAAAAATCATTATTAAACAACTTAATATGTTGAATGAATGAGTGAATAAAATACAATACAACTAAAGTTGCAAAAAACAATAATGTAATTATTTTAATGAAAAAACAAGACATCAGACAAGACAAGGCGATGTGGGTGGAGGGGGGGTGTAAATGATAACGAGTGGGTGCCAGGTGGAAGTTATGCAGATGATGATTGCCACTGGTCACCTCTACACCGTTCTCACGGCAGGTCGGGACGGACAAGAGTCGCGGGCGCGTTTGCTCTGGACGCGAATACGACCATGGCAGCGGGCGAAGCTCGGCCACGACGGCTGTAAGAGCGACGACAGTTTGCTAGTGAGCGATGTCGTGCGCTTGACGGTACTGCAGGCGTTGAAGACGACTGTTGTGCCGGCGACGATGGTGACCAAAGCTCGGAGCGACTATAATATCGGCCGGCGGGATCAGACCGTAGGGCGAAATGGAGGGAGAATCTCCGTGATACTCTGATACTCTTCGTTGTTTTCGCCCTGGCGTCCCGCCGGCACCGCTGTGGACTCGCGCACCGCTGAACTCTGAAACGTTTCGTTTCCTCGAACCCGGTGCTGCTGACGTCCGTGTGATGGGGACGCTCTTTAATAAAAGTAAACAGTCCCCTCCCCCCGGCCCCACACTTTAATTTTACCAAGTCGAGCACTGGGTACAAATGTACAATAATATATAACAATAAATAATAATATAATATACTGAGAGGTGCAACATCATAATTTCTAAATATTACAGTATCAACTGCTGAGCTCAGTGCTCACTGCAGTCTGCAGTAGGTATATTAGTGCGTGAGGCGGGAAATCGTACGTAATATGATAATTTTAATGCGGACGGCTCACGTTTATTGGTTTTTAACGCGGGTCGTTAAGGCCAATTTACTGATTAATAATCAAGGTCGACGCAAGCGCGCGCATACAACAATGTATAATATGTCTATATATTTATTAGGTATATTAGTGCGTGCGATAAGATCATATCTTAACAAATAACGAGCTATAGGTACCGACACATAATTTTATACAGTATAATACAAATGCGTATAATAATTAATATTATATCTATAGACGCCGTAGTCATATCTTATACACGAGATGTTATGTGTAATAAATAATAATTAACGAAAATTAATGTATACGTATAACCTAGCTATACGACCTACCTCGGGTGCCTCTCCGTATAATCTCTGCATTTATACGCTGTGCTGCTGCCCAGTCCGCCTGCAGTACGGTGAATAATATTGGACACTTGTTAATCGAACAGCGTAATATCAATTCGTATTGGGAATATATGCGCTCGCGACTGCGCCCGAGACAAATCGCCGAGACCGTTGAAAATGCGATTTTGCGACAGGACGTTCTGTCGGCTGCAATTGTTATTAATCGTTGTTTTCAGCGCCGCAACGTCCGTGCACGGCTTGAGAAACGTCAGGCCCGACGGTACGTATATTTACCAATACCTTTAACGGCTTTTTCCACATTGTGGAGGTAATATATTCATTTTTTAGTCGTTCCCGACTGCAGCTGAAAATTACCTCCCTTATATTATACTGTAGTAGGTACCTTTTATATTATAGGTACCTCTATACGGGGGCACACTGGCTAGGGTTGTGCGATCCCGGCCTGGGCCTGCCGAAAATTTGGGTGATTGTAAACTTTCCCGATTTTAATGACATGTAAATTCTCCCGATGTTAAACTCTCCAGGGGTGTCTTTTTTTTTGGGGGGGGGGGGGGGGGTGCAGGATGTACATTTGCACCAAATTTTTTTTAGCATTCTTTGGCCTGCCAACAATAAATAAAAGAGCCGATATACCTATTATACATATTTTATATTTTTTGAGTATTAAAAAAAAATATATTGTACTAATGTTTAATTTCCAAGAATGTTTGATATGGTTTTGTGGTCCCAAAATATTAATATTATAATTGATAAAATTATAACACAAACATTGTGAGGAAGGGTACCCATTTCTGGTTTTATTAAGGTTATATTATATAACCTGGCTATATTATATATTTTGAGTATGCTGTATGCAGGGAGAAAAAAGTGTAGGTTAGGTTCGGTATTTTATTATAAAGATAAAAGGTGTTTTATACCCAAACATTTATTTACCAAGTGTAAATATATACTAATTTACCAACTGTGCACTGGTATCCACAGTATAAAATAAATACATTAAAAGTACCAACACATAGTTCGTCAAAAATAGTAACAATATTGTGATATTTTCATACTAATATTATAAGTAACATATTAAATCAATTATACGAATATTCTACAGTTTTTGTCCCCACTTGACCCCCCCCCCCCAAAAAAAAAGAGTTTTATATGTGGCCTGGTGTGTAATGATTTGAATGGCGTGCAAATATTTTGGCACCAACAAAAAAAAAGTTGAAATGATGGCCCTGAAACTCTACCGAGTTTAGTCCAATACTACCTAACGGGGCCATGTAAACTCTCCCGAGTCTACTTCAGTATACTACTAACTACTAAGATAGGGAAGCATAGGGCTAGCATCGATATAACCTTAGATCATATAGGTACTACTTGTATATGATCAAGGGTATAACTAATGACGTCTTCCACATTGACAATTTAAATTTCTCCGCATAAATACATAATGTAGTACCTAGCTAGTAAGAAATATGTGGCTGCAGAAATTAAACAAATGGAAATATTATAATATATAATATAAAATAAAAGTAACAGTATAAATAAAAAACACATATTTGTATTAAAATAAACGTGGAAAATACCTCCTTTACAGATGGACGATGGTACAGAATCAACTTTCAGTTTTTGTGATTAAACCCACTTTTTTTGTTTAGGAAGAACTTCGCCACTTAGATCTTTAGGAAATCTATGTAGGTAACATAGATTATCCTTTTATGGATCCTAGGGACTTATATATTAAGACAAAACAAATTGATAATGGTGATAATGATAATAGTTAATTATAATAGTTCGCGCCAGCAGTCACCACCTAAGTCCGTATACTACACAGTATACCTACAACATATACGTTTACATATATATATTATTATACCTATACATAACAAATAACGTTAGAATGTACACTATTTTATTTTAAAATAAATTAAGTACGACATACGTACAGCGTTGATACTCGTTTATGCCAATTAGGTTTTTCTCTCTGACTAACGCTAAAACACTTTTCTTGAGTCATATTTCATAGGTGCAAATAATGGACAGGTGCTAAGCCTTTCCTCCTCCTCCCCCCCGGCCCCCCCCACCAAATCTCAAACATTATTTTAATGTTATAAAAGGTAATGAAAATGTTTTTTAGTAGGTACCTAGTTTTACAAATAAAAACATGATGATTTAAACCAGGGCTTAAAACCGTTATCAATCAAGTCGGTAATCGGCTCCGGTAGGAGCCGAAAATTTTTGAAAACCGGTAACCGGTTATCGTTTAATTTTGATATTTTGGTAACCGGTAACCGTTTCTTTAAAGATATTTCAAACACTATGATAACCGTTAATCGTTTAAAAACCGTTGATTATATTTTTTGGTAATCGGTTACCGGTTAAAACCGGTTCTTAAAAATCATTTTTTTTTCAATTTTTTAATCATATTTTTGAAACAGTTTATTTAGGTTATTCGTGGGTTGATAACATAACTATTATTATTACAAAATCAAAAACTTAATATGCTTTAATTTGGTCGATTTCCTTCAATTATTTAAATATTTATTTTTTCAAACTGCTTTAAAGTTTAAAACATATGATCAAGATAATGGCGATCTTAATAAATCAAAAAAATAAACTGCATATAAAAATGTTATTGTTATAATTTTCTTCTTTATAACCGTAAAAAACCGAAATAATATATAATAATTTTGTACTCATTTTTTTGAAGGGCAAAAATGTGTTTCTCCAAGTTTGACGAATGCTTACCAGATATATACTTGGTACATCCCACTACATTACATTTACTACTGTTTTTATTTACATCATACGTAAAATACATTTCAAGAACAGGGTTCTTCATTTTTAATTTCCGTGTATAATATATGTAGTTATTCTTCAAATTATTTAAATCTTAACCCCTTTAAACACTTTAAACAACAGCTTTAAAATAATATCATTGACCAATGTATAAAATATAAAGTGTGATAGACAATATTAAAATGTCGTAAATACTAAATGGACTAAGCCCCTATTCCACCAACTATTTCGTAATAGGAATCAGCGCGCGAGGACGACGACGATGTTTATGACGGTATTTATAATATTAGTTATACAATTATACATATATATATATATATACACATATATACACATATATTGGTTATTGATATTCACAACAAACAAGCAATACTCGACGACAATTAATTGGGGAAAAAAATTTAAAAATAGCTGGAAAATTAAATTCAACTATAATGTAATCATGACACAATTCAAGTATTAAATTCCACGAAAAAACCTTTAATTTTTTGGTCGGGAATAGATTTTGGTTATAATACCGGGATTGAAAAAACGAGGTAACCGCTTTGATGTTAATATTTAGATATTTACCTTGATAACCGATAACCAATAACCGCTTCCAGCATTCCAAAACTAAGAACGGTTATCGGTTTTTGGTTCTCAAATTTACGGTTTTTTACCGGTTTTCGTTACAAACCGGTTACCGGTTTTAAGCCCTGATTTAAACGGAATCCGCGGATCATTCAAAACTCCAAATACTGTGACTCGAATTCTCCAAAATATTTTTTATTTAATTTTAAATATATATTACGTCAATCGGCAGTTAACAAGGGTACATATATATAGGCAATACCAATCAAGTAACAGTAATAAAACTTTAACAAGGCTATAAGTTATAGGTTTATAACAATAAGAAAGAGCATGCAAATGATATAAGTAGCCAGAGAACGTAGCTAAAACAACTGGGGCACTTTTCGATTAGTATCTCTGAGCATTCTGTGTAGTGAATGATTGTAACCATAGATAGCAGAGTCACTCTGGCAGAGTGGCATAAAACTGGACTAGGTTTCGTATTCCACAGGTAGGAACTTCGAATGGAATTTCAGCAAGTAAATTTGGAACGTCTAAGGTACCATTTAGAATGGAAGTTAAAAAGTTTTCATCTATATCGGAGCGGCCAAAATAAGGGATGGGATGTTAAATATATTACACAGTTGGACATAGTCGTGGGGACTGCACTGGGGAGACACATCGGTTTTACTCACGACTAGTAAATAAGTTAGGATGCGATTTTGCACCTGCTCTAGCTTATGTTGGTGTTTTACAAGGTATGGATGCCACACAATGACCCCATACTCAAGAATTGATTATATATACTAATATACTAATGTAAAGTAGAGAACGGAGACAATTCACTGATGTGAACATAGACGCAATTTGGGGGGCTTGGACGGGCTTAGCCCCCCTCAACAAATTGTATTTTAATTGAAGTATAAAGAACTATTCATTATTCACGTGTTGTCCATAGTAGATAATCGGATCCACCCTCAGAACATAATATAGGTTTAATAATAGTATTACAAATTAGTAATTACAAAATATTACTGATACCTAACATTTCAATTTGTCTAGAATAATATAGTAGATACTCGATTGGACGATAGTAGTGTTTTATTTTAAAAATTTCTAATTTCAAAATTTGAAGTGATGAGTTACAATTATAATATAAATAATATAATATATATAGGTGGGTACCTAAATGTTGTAATTTGTTTTAATAAAAATAATTTTCATTTTAGTAATAGGTAGATGTACAATTATAATGTGTAGGTACATTAATCTAGGAAAGTAGGTGAGAAAAAATATATATTATTAAAATAAAGTAGGTAATATATTATTTATTAATTTATTAATAAGGATAAATGTCCAACTCAAAGGTATTTTAATTTTTAACATGGGGTGTGTTGGTCAGAGCCACTCACGGGTCTGTTTAATTTAAATATGTGAAGCCCCTACAAGTTAAAAACTGAAATAGCTCCAATGGATGTGAAATGTTTAGTGTTGAGTTTAATAAATCCGATAACTTTAAGAGCTCGCACTACTGTGGAGTCAATATGGTGATTAAATGAAATAGAATACATATAAAGGATTCCGAGGTCTTTAATTTGAGATAGGTACTTGTGACTTGTCACTTGTGTAAGTGGTAAGCCATTAATGGACTTAGTTCTATTTGTGGGCGAAAGTGATTTAGTGAAGGTAATTGAGTCACATTAGTCGAGATTTAGTAAGAGTCCAAGAGGTAGAAAATAGATTAAACTCGCTCTGTAGAACAGCCTGGTCGGCCGTAGAGTCAACTTTCAAAAATAATTTGATGTCATCCGCAAAGCGAAGATACTTGCAGGCGCTGCTAAGGTGTTAAGACAGAGAATTTATAAAAAGAGAGAACAGTAGAGAAAATATGATTTATATTATAAGTTAACATTTTATAAATTAGGTACCTAGTAAAGATGAACTCACAACAAAATTGTAATATCTAGGGCCCGTATTTAAATGTCCTTAAAGGCTAAAACTATCCAAAATTGCTCTATAAAAATAGACAAAAATACTTAAAAAATTATTTTGGCCGCTATAGTAAATAACGTATTACAATTGTTTTTATTTTTTTTCTCCTTCGGCTTTCAAAGGTTAGGTTAGGTTTACAGACCTATTTTCATATATCCCTATCTTGTGCTAATGTTTCTCCTATTCATATTCCAATATCTGCTAAACTCTTTTCAACTTTGGCCATCCACTTCTGTTTTAGTCTGCCTAGTAGTCTTTTTCCATAACTCATAAGTCATAACTCATGAGGGCATGAGGCGTCCTTTTTAGTACTGCTTTCAATAAACCATACGTTTAATCTCCATACATGACCATCCCATGCAATCATTTTATGTTGAAATACTGCTACTATGTCAGGCTCTTTGTATAGCTGCCATAATTCGTCTCCCTTGGTGGTTGGCTATATCTCACATAGTCACGTGCATACAGAATAACTAGTCTGGTAACTATACCTTGTAGCCTTTAGGTATAATGTGATTTTTGATAGTACCTACGTGACACTTGTTGTTTTGACTGAAAGATACTCGCTAGTCCAAGCCCGTATAATAGCATTTATTCGCCACACTATTGTTCTTATTTTAATTTCTTTATGGTTATTGTTCTTGCTATTTATCGTAACGCCCAAGTATTTGAAACTATGTGGGTAGGTACTCTTAAAATTTATAATTCTCGACTCCTAAGTGTTCCCCATGATTCTCTCGTAATTTGTATAGATATAATATAATCGCCATTCGCCATACATTTGATCTTTAATAAAATTAATTTATCGTAGTTCGATTTCACTACTATTATTATTTTTATGTCCTTAGTGCTTGTTTTTACTTCTTGACCTATCTGGCCCTAATAATATCATCAGGGTATGCCAGTATTCCACAGTCTTCGGTTATCTAAAAAATTTAACCATACCATAAGTACCTACATAAATTTATCATTATCACTGTTTTAGCTGGTATTCTAAAGGTTGTTAGTACATTCCAAGGGCGGCCGCAGAAAAATAAACCGAAGGGCGGGGGGGGGCAAAGTAAAAATGTCCAATTATATAGAAATTCACTAAACTAAACCGGTGTGAAAAATAATACACCGGGATGTTTGGACCATATCATTTACATGGTTCATTATCCCGGTGCGGGATAATGATTAATGTGGGATAATTTTAAACTGGTTTAGGCTAGCAAATTTCTAAAATACAACACATATTTTTTTATTTTCAAGTTATAAAACAATTCATATTAAGTATTAACTAAAATAGAGGGGGGCATGCCCCTTCCGGCACCCCCCTGCGGACGCCCATGGTGCATGCCATAGTACTTCTCTATTAACTGAATCGTATATGCATATACGATTCAGTTATGCCTGTTTGGCTGTTTATCATAAACTAATAGCATAGGTAGGTCGTAGGTACTATGTAAGTCTTTCAGTCTTTGTCAAATTCATAATGCTTCTCGACCAACTGCGGTTGATATCTATCATTAAACAACATAACCTTGGTGCTATATTATTCAAAATATATAAAGTATTTAATTCTTTATTAAATAGGCTTAATACCCTCTCAATTTCTGACAGTGGCCAAATAATTCATATTTACCTAACTGCCACCAAATCAAATAGATACCTACCTACACGGCTACACCACATCAGTGGCGATAGTTATAACTTATTTACTTATGTCTTATAATGTATAGGTAATATACAGGTACACATTGTGGTCTAAACGATGTGCCTATACTTATCTTTAGTAATCAGCACGATTAAAGATATACAGGTTGCACATCGACTACTGATAAGGTGAAATACGAAATGACTACCAATAATTAACCAGTGGCGCTCCAAGCGGCAGTATTACAATTAACCAATTATAGATATATAGGTGTAAAATTAGTTCTAAATGTCGACACATATGGTTGAGTGTTGACATTAAGCGCCACTAGTTAATTATTAACAGCTGATTTTTATAGTCACTTTGTAAATCAGTCTGGAAGCGGTTTACTATAGGGCGATGTGCAACCTGTATATCTTTAATCGTGGTAATCAGTAAACGGTCCCTCATCGCCAATTCAGAACGCCCCCCCCTTCATAAAAATGTCATTGTTTTTGAGATTTCTAAATATCAAATGTATTTAATTGTTCAGCCGAGGTTAGCTCATAATTTTCCAAGTGCAAAAAGAGTGTGACACATATCACTAATAACCATTGTTAGTGCTTGTATGGGATCACTTTTAAAAACTAAATTACTATTGAAATATATTTAAGATTTACAATTTTAATATATTCTTCTGGAAATTTCATTAAAATTGCCTAAATGCATTCAAAGCCCTTAAACTACTGGTAGTGGCGTACTCTTAAATTTATGAAACAAGAATAGCCAGTAGGTACCTATTTATAACTATCATAACAATACATAATGTGCATAAGAATAATGCAATCATAATGCCCAAACTAAATTGTTAGGTTATAACTACTATTTATAAAGTTGTTGTCAATGAATTATGCTATGCATGTACAATTTAACAGAGTGTTGGTGTTTTCTACCTATATACCGTGTGTCCCAAAAATCAGGGGCCACTTTACTACTCATTACCATGTAAATATTTTTCAATTCTGTTTGCGGGACATTAAACTAGACTAATGGATCGTAAATTTCTTTGACTCACAATGTTTTTAACTCATGTATCTTGCGCATGCGCAATAAAACTTACATTTTTTTAAATGGCAACCCGTAATTTTAATATCATATTCAGGTTCATCGATTTTTTTCAAGCCATTTTGATGTATCAACTTATGTCCTAAACCCAAAATTGACTAAACTAGAGCTAAGTAGAATTTAAATAATTTAAAAATTCAATTTAATTAATTTTTTTTTCTAACTGTACGTACTTATTTTTTTCTTGTAAAGTGCATGCCTCAAATCGACGTAAACAATCACGATTAGTTGCTGCCAGTATTTGGTTTTCGTTTAGGAGGTAACATGCGTGTGTAATTTTATTCTTTAAATTTTGGATGTTGATTGGAGGATCAGTATACACAACATTTTTCAAGTGTCCCCACAAAAAAAAATCCAACGGTGTTAGATCTGGTGACCTTGGGGGCCACTCTACTGGTCCATGTATTGCAATAAATTTTTCGCCAAATCTTACTCTCAAAAATTCTTGGACAATTCGGGCATTATGAGCAGGTGCCCCGTCTTGCTGATAATAAATGTTTCTACGTATATCTAATGGTAAATCATCAAGCAGTAATTGCAAGTCATCATGCAAAAAATCTAAGTATCTTCTTCCCGTTAAAGTTCCGTAAAATGTTGTTTCTTGAAAATACATTTTTAAACTTTAAACTATGTTATTTTATAATGTGTAATAATAAAATAAGATCATAATTCATAAATAGTAAATAGTTAATTAGTTTAATAATAATAATTTTGATTGTTTGTTTCACCGTGCTTAGAAGAAAAAAATAAGTAGGTACGTACAGTTAGAAAAAAAAAATTAATTAAATTGAATTTTTAAATTATTTAAATTCTACTTAGCTCTAGTTTAGTCAATTTTGGGTTTAGGACATAAGTTGATACATCAAAATGGCTTGAAAAAAATCGATGAACCTGAATATGATATTAAAATTACGGGTTGCCATTTAAAAAAATGTAAGTTTTATTGCGCATGCGCAAGATACATGAGTTAAAAACATTGTGAGTCAAAGAAATTTACGATCCATTAGTCTAGTTTAATGTCCCGCAAACAGAATTGAAAAATATTTACATGGTAATGAGTAGTAAAGTGGCCCCTGATTTTTGGGACACACGGTATACACAATTTGTTTGAAGTAGCCAGGATGTACCTATTCTGTTCAACTTTCAATGTTTTTGAAGCAATTACTGATAATACGTATATGTATGATATAATGTATTTATATTTCAAATTGTAAACTCATGGACCCCCACACGAACAGGTTCAGTGGGGCCCATTATCTTCTTGAAGAATAAAAAAAAAATAAATAAATATGATATATAATACGGTTGCATGGATGAGTTTGACATATTCATTCATTCAAATAGGTACTCAAATTTAAAAACAAGACAATTAATATATTATCATTATCTTGATAAGTTTACAAATTCTGAAAAACCTAACACTCCAATCTCAAAATCATTACTTTATGTTGTAAAATGTTTAAATACATTTTTTTTTTATAGGTCCATGTGATCCAGGAGAATTGGTATTTGTGGGTTTTTGCAACTTGTGCATGTGTAATTCTCAAGGAATGCCAAATCAGCTATGTGCTAGATCGTGGTGCCCAGTTCAAACAACACTACCACCCAGAAACAGTATACTGTATTCAATCCCAAATAAACCATTCACATAAGGATCATCGATTAACATCCATATTGAATGTGAATGTAAAAATAAATTATTATTGTGTATGTTATGAAAAATAACAGTTTTAAGTTTAACAAAATAAATGTAAATTCAACAGGTCTAATTTATTGTCAAACTCTGTGTAGGATTATGATAAAAATAGACACAAAAATATGTTCACAGCAATTATATAACTATAGGTTTAATATAATCTCTTAACCATGTTATAAAATATTAAAATTATACATGTTAATCACTCATTTTTTAATTTATTTAAAAAAATATGTATCTATAATATGTATACATATATATATATATATATATATATATATATATATAAGTAAATTGTAAAGGTAATAGTCCTACAGTCCTATACATACCTTAATGGCTTAATACCTTCACCGTATTCATTTACATCACTTAAGAAACAAAAAACTAATTTACAATAATCGATAAATTACAACAATATTATTGAATTTATTAAAACTTGAACGAAAATTAACAATGATCAAAAAAAAAAAAAGAACAGTCACTAGAAATTAGAAGAATGATGTAAATTTCAATATTTTCTTAGGTGAATCCTAATTTAAACAAATTGGAATAAGTTCAACATAATACAGTTTTTAGATATTTAAGTTTGTTGAATTGATTAATATTGGCAATACAGAAATTACTACAAAACAAATTTTTAATTATGTAGTTAAAAACGTTTGTTTTTAAAAGACTTAATTTTAATTGATCAACAAAATAGAGTGCGTCAATTGAGCACACGGCTTTTTTTATTTACATTTAAATTTACAATCATAGAAAAATACCTCTGACTGAATATTTAATGAAAATATTATAATGTATCAAACATTGTCTGACTAGATCTGGTCAATGGTTAAATGTGTCTTAACTATCAAATATGTATCACTGGAATGAATTAAATATTGTTTGTTTCTTTTATTTTTTGCTACAGATATTGTGTAATCCAGAGGTATTATCATTATAATGTACTTAATATTTACAACCGGACATTAGAAAAGTACAATATAGATTATAGTTGTTTTATTATGAAAATCCTGCACTTAAAAAATTTATTTAATTTAAATTGTCTAAATTGTTAGCGTTAGCTTCGATGATTAAAACCTTTGGTGTTATCAGGCCCACGAGGCTGTCGAATAACATTGTCTTCAACAGCAACACGGACTATGGGCTGTCGCAGCACTTCAACTTTCATACTACCTGAAGAACTGGCCCTAAAATTGAAAAATAATAATAAATACATAATAAAAATAAAACACGTCATGTAAAAAATTAAAACATTAAAATATGTTGAGTTTTAGATAAAATATGGCAAGTATAAGAATTTACATTAGTTTTACTTTTAATCCCGACGTATAAATACTCTTTAATGATAAAAGAACTTCAAAATGTATATTATTCAAGTATTGTTAAGGGGCCTGGTCGCGATTTTTCAAATTTTCCGCAATTCTATAAAATTTGAAAATTAAATTTTATATTTTAGTTGCCACCTCAATTATAAGACTTTTCCACTAATCTACTACCCAATACCTATTTAGGGGGGTTGATAGGGTGTATTAAATCGGTGAAAACACAGTTTACAGGAAAAACTCTCACCCCTCGTGGATTGGTCCGATTTTCGTAATTTTTTTTTGTTAGATAGAGGAATATTTTTTACAGGGCGCATTGGACTTCGATTTTTGATTTCGTAGCTAAAAACAAAAAATAATACAAAAACTAAAAAGTTGTAAAAATTGATTAAATTCAAACTTGTAACATAAGGCTTAGAAAAATAATTTTGAAAATCCAAGTCCAATGCGCCCTGTAAGAAGTCTTCCTCTATCTAACAAAAAAAAAATTACGGAAATCGGACCAATCTACGAGGCGTGAGAGTTTTTCCTGTAAGGCATGTTTTTGAGCAAAAAAACAGGTCGCGTGCAGGCCCCTTAAGTTATATACATAGTATGGATCAAGTTAAGTTTTTAAATACATAAAATTATCATTTAATATTTACATGTTATTAAAAAAAAATTAATACATTTCTAAAAACGAAGAAAAACAATTATACAATTTATATCTTATCGATTGTTATAGTTTTAAACTTGAAAATAATAATTCAAAAATGTCGTATCTTTATTGGGTCAAAATGTTTTATTAAATAGGTTCTTTTGATTAACTTAAAATAAAAATATTATTTGTATTTAAGTATTTTTGAACATATAATTTAATTTTTTATTTTAGGGATATATTAAGAAAAAAAATTTAACTTATTTACTGGAAACAGTCCAATATATGACCTCTAACATTATAGAATAAAACATATTTAAGTTATAGTACTATCATGGCTACAATAAACACAAATTATCTATTAATGATGACATCTTTGGATGTTATTAATTGTACAGTAAATAAAACATTTGACAGTTTAACTAAAATTAATACTTATAAAAGAAATTTAAGGTTATAAACATTTGTAAAATAAATATAAAGAAGACACTACACTACATTTTTGTTAACGAAACATATAACATTGTTTGGAATATTTGGTCATGTCTGTATTTTTAACTCTTGTGAGTTTTAATTCAAAAATTAAATTCTTCTCTAGTGTTTATAGATGATATTTAATATTATTCAAACGAAATAAAATAATTAACATGGAATTTTAATGTATATATTTAGAGTTTTAATAATCTTAATACATTTATTGTTAACTTTCACCTCCCAGTGACTTTCAATCTTTGAATCTCATATCCTCATCTATATTTGATCATAGAGCAAAATGTTTTTTTTTCATTATTAAATTAAGTCTTGTTTTGTTTAATATTAATTTCTTAGAATATAAGTAGTATAATATATAAATATGTTAATACTCTTAATAAGGTTCTCACTAATTTCACAACTATCACACTATTCACACTATAACAAGTGTATGTAATTAGTTTCTAAGGTAAGTCCTAATGATCTGAAAAAATGTCAAGGTCTAGAATACCTTATTTTTTGATTAACAAGTCATTTTGCGTTTAGCAGAGAGAAATAATGTAAAAAAAAATTAGCGATAAAGTAAAATATACTTGGTAGCTAAGTAATTTCCCTTCTGCGTTCTGAATCCAGACTATTGACCCCCCCCCCCCCCCCCCCACACACACACACACACATACACAATAATAGTAAACAGAGATGACTTAGAACAATAGTAATAACTTAATATTGAAAACGATCGTTAAGTATTAAAACTTACATTTTAAAAATAGGTATAGGGAATAAAAATTAAAATAAACTATATGTCATACTAATACCCGAGTCAGATTTATTTTTCAAACAATTTTTTTAGTATAAATAAGAATTATTACATAAATATGTAATTGATACTTAGTACCTAAATTGAAATAATATATTTAACAATGATAATAAGCAGATAAATACTCATTGAGTTCTTCAGTTTATTTATTTATTTATTTCAAATATGCAGACAGTATTGAATTTAATTTATGTTCTAATTCAATCTTTCAGTCGGGCCATTAATAAGTACTACAATAACAATACTATAGTAGATTAATCTATGTAATTATTACATAAATTGTTTAAAGTTACCCTTCATCATCAGCATTCAACTCTTCTTCACGTTCTTCGCCCATTATTCGCAATCTAGCTTCTGCATACTCTTGTTTTCTCTAAAGTAAAATGTAATGTGTTAAAGAATTTCATACAATGATTGTATATTAAATTTCATACTTGTTCCAAAGATTTAACTTGTACTTTGGGTTTATCGGCATTATCATTTGCAGCATTATCCTTCTGCGGTCGTTTGAGTATTTTAACAGTGGGCTGTTGAGGGACTGTCATTTGTTGATGATGGTTATATGACAATTGTAAGCCAGGGGGCAATATTACAACATTGCTATTGCTAAAAATGTTTGCACAGAAAAATAGTTAATATGTCCACAAAATACATACGACTAAATAATTTTTAAAAATAATCACTTTTCATTTTTGGTAGCGGACGCCAGTTGCATTTTTTTTATTTGAGTGCTGAGAACCTATATGTGAAAGCAATAATAGAAGGAATCGTTAGATGACAACAGTGCATGAAGTCTAGGTACACTCTATAGGTGCAATCGGCGAGTTAACCAGATCTGTACGCAAATCAAACCGACACAACAGATCGCACCAGACGGTGGGCCGTTGACCGACCCACCAGGCTCAAAGGGGCAAAACAGTAACACAAACACGACTTACAGACGGATCGTCCAGAGCTTCCCAGCTTTCATAGGGTTCAGTTGTGCCCGTTTCACAAGTCGCCATAATATTGTACATACTACTCACTCAGCGCGGGATCGGATGTTGTGCGTGTGCGTTTTACTACGACGTCCACTGGCCGGCGGGTCGAGGCATAGTTGGCGGGAGCAGAAAAAAAAATTGTAGCTATAAATAATAACGATGATGTACGACGATACGTCTGAATTTGTAGAATGCCGGAGTCAAGTAAACGTTGTCGTTATAATTATTAATTACCGTTCGACGCAAGAGAAAAATGTTAAAAATGTATCCGACGATAGCTGAGGTATACAATGAATAATAATGATTAATGAATAATTTTATATTGTGATATAATAGCAGTCTTGACTCTTGGGCCCGACGACAATTTTGACAACACGTCGAGATTACAAGCGAGAGTCATGGAACAGACGGTAATTGTCAGGTGCGTTACGAATTTTTCTTTTTGGTTGGCAACACGCGTTCTGGTTTTGTTAATTTTTTTCCGTTTCGGCCACCAACCGCCACTACCGTTCAAAACTTCAAAGTCCAAAGTTTGAAATTCAAAAAAACCGAGAGGAGCCGCGGAGGTCGTACAAACTAATAACTATACACAAATTACAAATAAATAATACGTAAGACAAATCATCGTCGGCGATTCAAACAAAAAAAGTAAAATTAAACCAATTCTTCATAACTCATGTACCCACTGGCTCGATACTGCGGCCTGCGGGACATATAGATGCTACAAAATGAATGTCAATGAAATATTATGATTGGTGACAACACTTAGCTACTGATTACTATGGCGCAGATAAAAACAAGAAATATGATTTTAAATATTTGATTCACTTGTAAGTAATAATAATTAATATTACAAATCTTTAAAAAAAATGTGATTAAAAACATATTTTGTCATAGCTAATGTTAAAAAAAAAACCTCTTTGTTTAATATTATAGTACTTAAATGTTCCGTAAATTCTTTGGAAGATGTCGGTTTGTGCCAAAATAGTATGATCCGATTTGTTGATACTAATTTTATTGTCTTGTTAATTGTGGGTAATTGTGCAAGGCGATCTGATGTCGTTTATGAAATTCAGTTGTAACAATGTAACCCCGTTGGACATTATGTACGTTTGATTCATTTGAAAATATGTACAACCTTAATGGATAAAGATTTTCTTTATCTATATTTTCTAATCTGTGCTCATTATTGTGCCAATCGGCAATCTTTAATCTTTTATATCTTTCTAGTCGGTTATTTTTCTTTTACTGTTTAGTAATAATAATTAATAATATGTATTTGGTCATTACTGATTAGTGATTAGTGATTACTCATATTATAGGAATTAACCTTTATTTTTTACTATATAGGATTTACTATATTTTAGTTATAACTTATTTCAAGTCTACTCTAATAGCTACTCTGATATCTAGTTTTTCAGGTATAATTTAGCAATAATAACTTCAATTTTATTAACTGATCATTACTATCCAGTTTTGTCTATTCTTTCGATTGTTACCCAAACACTCGTTCGCTTGTAGGTAAGTGCCCATATTCTCAAGTCATTGATAAATTTAATTTTTAATTTCAATTTTAATATTATTCAATAGGTACCTACCAAATAACCTTTACAATATTTATTTGTCTATTGTGTAATGAATACTTAAGGAGCTTATTGCAAATAAAATTCTTTAATATTTAAATCTCTTTACAACAACCAATAATATCAAAAAAAAAATTAGACTAAATACAAAATGTCAAATAATTAATAAATTTCTAGAATCATACCTTCTTTTTGCACATTTTAAATAATTATATATACAATATCAGGTTCAATGTGATTAATAAAATAAAATTTTAATTTTCTTATGTTTGATTTTATTGGTAGGTACCTATGATAACAACTTTTTGAATATTAATTTATTTAACATTATACCTACATTTAAAACTTATTCACTAACATAACAATAGTCTATAATACATAATATTATAAGATCTTCGAACATATTGAATTGAGACAAATTACATAGGGGCGTAGACATCCTAAAACAGAGTTTCTCAATTTATTATATTAAGCCAAATTAAATATTTATATAATTTATAAAATATAGTCTAATATAATCTAGGTATTTTGCCCTGTAATTGGATTGATCTCCAAAAATATCAGAACCATCTTCAAAATTTTTTATTTCAAATTGACAGTCAAGTTTGTGTTTGTTAAAAAAATTAACATGTTCATATTATGGTTGTTCATTTTAATTAATTATTTGTATACGTTTTCCACTTAATACGTAGGTACCAAAATGTACTTTCAATCATTATCGTATTACTTTAATTGTTTTATTCGTTGTTTTTTTGTTTGATTTATTATTTTATTACAATACCTTTAACCCTATATGTAAAAGAGATGACATTTTGTTTTACTATATCTATTATTATTATATGTTTAGTAGCCTTAGCAAGTACATAATACCTAAGGATCTTTAAAATAAATTAACTAAAGATTGATACAATATTATTGAAAATAAACTTTATTTAAACATTTAAAATTCACTAAAAAAATTAATTTTGTATAAGTTCAAGTTCTATTTAATAATAAATATGGATCTTTCATGATTCATTCATTAATGAGGTGTACTTATATTACTTATATTGTAATTTTAACTTAACAATTGTTAGTATTAATACTTGAGATACTTACAGTAATCAGAACTCGTTTGTCTCAAAATACCTAAAACATTCTTATGTTTCAAGGTTACATGATTATTTTTATGAATTTTTTAACTTTGAGTATATTTTTTTTTATTTTAGGCCCAAAACAAATTTAACAAGTACCTATATATTGCTTTGCCATGGCTCCCAAGCCTGTATTGGGACAAAATCGAAGCAAGTCTAATAGCATCTTTATCAAAAAACTTAATCGATGCTTGGTTATCAATAATAATTTACGTAAGCGTATTGAAGAGTTATCGGACAAAAATAAAGAATTATCAAGGACTAGAAATAGTATGTTATTAGAGAAATTTGCGTTGCAACATGAAAATAACACTATTAGAAATTTAAATATTCAACTGTCTGCTAAGCAAAATATTATGAGTAGAAAACTTAGTGTACTTGAACAAACTATACAAAGCTGTATACCTTCATTGGTAACAATGTCACAATGTATCCCATCAATGTTAGAAAATGTTCACGAAATGAGTAAATTGGAAGTCAACGAATTTAATCAGGAAACGAAAGAAAAACAGACTAAAACTGTAAAGCCTATAATTCATGGTATGACTATTACTCAACCGACTGCTTCAATACAACTTGATATGTCACCTATCATTGAAAGCCCAAGTTCTAGTTCCGAACGAACGCCAAAAAGTCAACGAAGATCTAGTTATAGAAGCTCACCTCACTGTAAACCTAATATGGAACCTTATGTAAGATTAAAAGATGTTGCAGCTATGTTGAAAAACTCCAAAGCCGTTCCTAATGAAAGTCCTAAACGACGATTGAATGAAAGTTTAGGCGAAGGCCCGAGTTGGTTAAATACACAAGAAAATCAAATCCAATGTTCTAACAACAATACTAATGTAACACAATATAGTAATAATTCTCCAAGATTAATAACATCCGATGAAGCTCAGGCCGATGTGCCAATAATTGCTTCTACTTCAAGTAGTAGTATGGATAATACATCTAATGAAACTGAAGTATGGCACAGTGATTTAATATCATCTCCTATTGATTCAAGTATGCTTAGAAACATTACATATCGAAAACGTAATAAACGATCTAGTGAAACAAGCATTGCATCAGATATTAATGATTCAACCTCTTCAGTAAGACCTAGTAGATCTGCAAGAAAAAAGATCAACTACAAAGAAAAGAGCCTTGGCTGTAAACTCAGAAGATAATTATTTAAACTATCATAAAACCAATTAAGAACATGTATTTTAAATTTAATAGTGTGTTTATATGGAATTTGTTTTTATTGTTAAACATTTTTTTTTTTTTTTTTAATTATGATGTGTGCGTTTTAATTCTTAACCACATATTATGTATATTTTATTTGATTAAAGAAAGTTGATAAAAAAAAATATTTTACAATTTATTGTTAAGTAAATTTTAATAATAATAGTTAGTTTTGATTTCAGTTTTGTGGATAAGAAAGTAAAGAATTTATATGAATATAATATGCGATAAGAGATAAAGAATACAGTTAGAAAGGTGTCAACTGTCAAGTGAAGACAGTGAAATATAACACAGCAAAATCATCATCCATCTAAATAGTAATATTATACTAATATATTTGTATAACATCATTATGTTCTTGTGTACTATTAATGTCAGATAAATTACTTAAATAAATAAAATAATTATTAAGTTGTAAAAATGCATTTATGATAAATTACCCTAGATTTACATTTAAACATAACTAAATCTATAACATATTATGTAACATTCATCTCATCCGACATTTACTTTTTGGAAACAAAAAATGTATAATGACTACAAATTTGGATATTTAAGTTCAAACAATATCATGTGAATAGCATTTATTTAAAAAAAAATTATATTAACACGGTTAAATATGATATTAATATACGGAAACTCTTATGCATAAGTAGGTACGATTAGAGGTAAATAATAAATTAATAAATATTAAAACGTAATTGGGTCGGAGCAGCATGTCAGCATATGAAAACAAAATTAATTTAGTCTATGTTTTCTTTTTAATTTTTCAACACACTAACGTCTTCGGTGGTCCTTTGCTGTGGTTGGAATGACTTGATCACTCCTGGAGTGTGTACCATTTGCAAAAACCTAGAAACACAAAACAAATTAGATATTATATATTATTTGTGGTGTTAAAATCACGGATTATTAATTCTGAGACTGCAGACGTTATGAGCGGTATGTTCGCGGTTTACAATTTGCTTCCGATACATGAATTTGCAGAGGCAAGAGATAAAATCGAATGATGGATAATGTTAATGTATAGGTACATAAACGCCTATACCGTTGTAATTAAAACAATATTATTGTACAGTAAGGATAGGTACGTCTTCCCTGCAGCGTCCAAACTCCAGACGCAGCATGGAAAATGTTTCTTCAGACAAAAAAAAAAATTAAAGTCATGCCACACAAAAACCTTTCAAACAAACAATAATATTATTAATAACATTTCTGATATCATACAATACTAAACATTAGCTACACTTTGCAAGTCATATTATACCCAATTTGAAATTTCATCCGAACCCTGTTTGGCGGCCGGAACGAGTTCTATAGAAACGTAGAAACATGATGTATTTAAGCACCATTATTAGATAAAATATATTATATTATTATATTGACGCTTTACTATAGAGTTAGATACGTGACGGCTGGTTTATTGCGATTCAAAGTTCAAACTGGTTTCATGCTCCGATAAATGATATTAAAATATATAGTATTATATGCGCATGTACACCTATAAATAGTATAGTGTTATTCGTGTACCCGGGAAAACGGTATAACTAATCATGTATTATAAATTATAATTATTGTGAGGCGGGTATTTGATTTTAATAATGTGTAAGTACCTAAATGTATGTACGTCGACGTACACCGACGAAAAGTGATCGCAGAAACCGTTACAATTGGTTGTCGAAAACACATATAGCTACCTAAGCGTACCTCCAGTAGTTGCTGCAGCTGCTTACCCATAGGCGGACGTTTGGTTGAATTTTTAGGGGACTATAATAATCAATTGTAAAGTTTCGATTTTTTTTTTTTGGGGGGGGGCTATTAAAATATTTAGGGGGCTAAGTAAGGATACCTACTAATTATGGCCATATTTTATAATTTATATTTTCTATCCATTATCACTCCATTTATTTTTAGCCACTTCTGCCACTGCCTAGGTATATGACTAAATGTCTAAATGTGTGTGAATTATCAACTATAGAGTCTATCATTTAACACAAATACACAATGTTGCACTTTGAATCAAGTACATCGATAGAAAACCCTTCGAAAAAATAGTAAATTCACACAAAAAGTATAATATAATAATAATATGTAACTATGTAAGTACACTGTGCAGGTTAACCAAGTATATGTTCGTCCACGTTCCACCCCTTTTTAACCATTAATAATAGATTCATTGATTCAAACTCTGGTTTTTGGAATTTAAAAGTATGCATAATATGACCACTGATATTACAGATAAGAATACCTAGGTACCTTACTAATTTTTGCTTTAAATTGTTTATCACATGTATTTTTCGTTTTAATGATTTTGATGCACATAATTCGAAATTTGAACGAATACCTACCTAGTTTCTGAGTTATTTAAATTTAATGCTCTAAAAGTCTAAAGATAATAGACCTTATTAATGGTTTCACATTAATATAATATAGTTAGATACATAGGTACTATTATTATACTCGGAAGATTAATTATTACTATAATTTTCATTTAGTTATTTCAACCGACATTGGTCATTATCCATAGTCCATACACCTTATACTCATAGATCGGCCCTGCCTATAATGATAACATTACCTATGCGTTGTGAGCCGAGTTAGATGGCGAGATTAAGTGACTGAGTGCAGAGTGACTGATGCACAAACGCAGTTATAAGTATTCATAATTATATTAAATAGTTATAGTTTATACCACCAGCGCCCTCTATCATGGATCTGATTTTAATTCATATAGGGCCTATAATAAGGTCTATGCCATAATCATTTGAGCACATACAGTGGGGTCAGGGGGTTCCCAGCTTTTTTTGAGCTAAAAATATTGCTTATAAAAATTAGTTTATTCCAGTTTGTATTGGTAATGCACTAATAATAATAATACCACGGTTGTACATATTTTATATAATTATATATATACAGGGTAAATCTTATGTCATTGTAAGCGGGGTTTCTTAAAGATTATGGATCGATGACACAGAATTTCATTAAAACGAAAAAAGACATGTTTCTTTATTTTTAACAGGCAATTTTTTTATAACAATTTCAAAATTTTTAAACATGCAGGTATACCATAGCAAAATCAACTTTTTCTTTCAAATGGTAACTACTATATTTTTTAATGGATTCTGGTAAAGATTTTTTTCTGAAAATTTTGATAGTCAAATCATCAATTTTGGGTCGCCAGTTTATTAATACAATGGTCCTCTAAAGTTTAGTAAAATATACATTAATACTTTTAATTGAAATAATCGGTATAGGTTTAATTTACAAGACCTAAATAATTTTTTCTAAATGAAAAATTAGCTATAAGGTTTACAGAGGAAGGTTATACCTATTTTTATTTTTATTGTTATTTGTAGTCTGAAATGAATAAAATATAATGGAGACGGGAGAGCGACTATTAATAGGTAGGTACGTTGTGACTTATAATATGTACCTATAAATTAATAATATTATAGCATAATATTCTTAAATATATATGTAGGTAGAAATGTATTCTATTCTCACGGTAAATGTGGTTTTCGGATGCGCCGACACCGACCCATCGGATCCCTGAAATATCCGGGTCCGCACTTCCGATTGGCCGTGCTATTCGTTGCGGACGCGGTTGCGGAAGCTGTGGCGACAGCCGACGGTGACTGACCGGATGGAGGTGGCGACGACAACGGCGATGATGTGACGGCGATCACCGACGACGGTGGCTGTTCTGTAGGTAAGTCGGAAGTGTTTCCGTTACTAGCGATTAGGGCCTCGACCATCTGAACAATTTTGTCGCTATTGGATGGCGAGTACGGATCAAGTAACGCCAACGCCGGTGAACTTGTACTTACAACAGCTGCTGTGGCCACAGTGCTCGATGTCGGAGTATAAGTCGTGGATGAGTTCTGCGGTGGTTTGGCCGGACCTTCGTCCGTGTAGTCAGGTAAGTCTTCATACTGCGAAAAAATCGTGTCAAGTATATAGATTAGGCGTGTTCAGCATTGTTTATGCGTGTTTGACGGATTTAAATGGATATCCCTATAACTGGCAATACTTTTTTAAAGTAGTCGTGTTTTGTTATTAAATTTTAAAAAGTTTGTATCCATAGCCTCATAGGTAGATAGTTTGAAATGTTTGAATACATATATTTATAGTTATTACTCTTCTAAATAGACTACGAATTGGACATACTAGGAAAACTCGCGGTTTTCTAATGTCCAAGTATGACCCACCGGCCACCACCCACCCATATTCGAAACCTGTTGAGTTACAAGAACGGTAAGGTACTTCTAACAGAATGCCGTAAATACACACAGGAATTCATAGAAAGCAAAATACCCAACGTGGCAACGCCTTAGAAGGAGCCATCCAGAAACTAACCAAAACCTATATTATTTTTTCTTAAAGAACCAAACTATATAAAAAAACTAGATTGAGAAAAATATTGTATAAAGGTAGGTAGCTAATGGCCGTTGCAACACACAGCCGAAATGAATTACACTATTACGATGAATAAAAAAAAAATAATCAACAGTTTACCAAACTAATCTACATCAAATTATGAAATAAAAATATAATATAGGTTGTTGTAAAAAAAAAATAAAACCAACAAATTAGAAGTTTTTAGAATTTCTTCTAACAATAAACAACATTTTCAAAATATTTTGATTTATTTTGAACTGTTTAGGGACATTTTCATTTTCCATTTTTTTTTAGTTTTTTTTCTAAAAATATCAATTAAATATTATTTGTTGGCTGAAAAAGCTTGAAAATTTAATAGAAGGCTCCTAGTATATTGTTTCAAAGGCAGATGAAAAATATTAAAAACCTTGGTCACATTTTTTTTTTCTAAGCATTTAAAGTTCATAAATTGACAAAATATGGAAAAATCACGAAAATTAGCAAATTATTTTGAGTTAAAAATTCGTAAAAAATTTTCTTTTTAAATCTAAGGTTTATCCCTAATAAACAAAATAACACTCCCTATAACCCCTACTCCATAACACACACACACTCACACACACACACACCACATATTCCGTACATCAATAACACAAACACACAGTATATCAATATTATTATATACATAACTTTAAATTAAATTGCCATTGTTATTGTTATTTATTTATAACTAACTTGTTAGAGGGTATCCACACTGGTGGGCCTCCCTCCTCATGCCTTTCATGTTATTGTATTCTTTCATTACCAAATTTACTTATTGTATAAAAAAATTACAGATTGTAAATATTCAATTTTATCTAATAAAAAAAAAAAAAAAAAAAAAAAAAATCTAAGGTTTTAAAATGTAATACAAGATTCTTCATAAGTTTGTCTACCTTTATCAAAAAAAAAATTTCTATAAGAAAGTCAAATTAAATTTTTATGAGCGTTTTAAATTCAAATTTTTACAACATTGAATATTCACTCGATTTCTCATGTAGCGATTTCCTTATTTTGTTGTAATTCAAAAACGAATAACTGTAGATACATGAAAATTTCACTGAATGTTTATATTAGCATTTCCTATACACCATACAATTTTAAAAATATTTTGACTCTTTTTGAGCTGTTAATGGACATTTTCATTTTTCAATATTTTTTGTTTTTTTTTCTATGAATATCAATAAAGTTTTATCTGTTGGGCCAAAAAGTGTAAAAAATTAATACAAGGCTCCTTATATATTGTTACAATATCAGTTGAAAAATATTTAAAATACATAGGCACAATTTTTTTTTATAAGCATTCGAAGATCGAATTTTGACAAAATGTATCAAAATCTCGAAAATTATCAATCATTGTAATTCATAAATTATAAAATGTTCAGTTTTTATAGCTAAGGATTGCAAATTTAAAACAAAGGTTCTCATAAATAGTTCATACTGTAACCTAAAAATCTAAAAAATATATGAACACAGTTATTTTTTACAGACATTTTAAATTCAAATTTGGACGAAATTACATATTAAAAAACCTAGAATAACTATTTTAGTTATTTTGTTGTGATTGAATAATATTATTCGTGGGTACTTAAGACTTCTAAAGTGTACTATTATATATCTATGATAGTATCACAGGTTTTGTAGATGTATAACGCGTTATAAGTACCTAATGGATATTGTGATATGATTAATTTGGAAATTATTATAGGTAAATTTTTTGTTTAATACCGTATATAATATGTTATGTCTTATCCTAGACTGACATACCGTCTCCGCTCAGAATCGTTTTTCTTATACAATGATATTATATCATTGAAATATTGAATTCAAATTTAATATACTATCCATTATACAGTGACAGACTTGTAACCTACTGTACAGCAGAACGACACCCACTTGCCCACCTTTTTATTATTTATTATAGCATTTAAGTTGAATTAATATTATAAAATTATTTTTTCTTCGTTGCTGCGGTGATGAACAAAGCGTATTACAAATTAAAATCCCATTTTAAGCGGTTTTTCGTAATTTGTCGGTAGTTTTTCCCGTGGCATTAAATAACTATTGAGAAAATTGAATAATGACCTCTCCAAAGTACCTACCATCCTGATCCAATTTTCTAAAAGATAAGGTACTATAAGTTGTTGAAATCAAAGCACGCCTTCTGGTAGACATTTTGTATAGAGGATAAAAAAATAAACACCATTGTAAAACCACTAGCTTCCTCGCTCCGCTCAGAATCTAAAAACTATACGTTTTTTTATGGGTGTAGTAAGTATTCAGTATTTACTATTTTTAGTGATATTGTTTATAATAATATTGTTTCAAAAAGATGGCTGTCTAAAAAACTCACCTCACTGTAACAGGAATAACTTATGTATGTATAACAGCGCGTTTAAGTCTCTATAGATCGAATAAAATGTGTATTACATATATAGGATAACGTATAAGTGTAAAATATATTTTTTTAGTTTATTAGAAAAAATACACTAAGTATCTGTAAATATTATTTTTACAATAGAATACCTATGTGAAGATATGTACCACATACACAAGGAAATGGCTTGAAAGACTTGTTAGAGAATAAGTTACCCAATTGTAACATTCTAATCACAACATATATCATAACAGCGTGTTGCCTTTATTATGTGAATTCACACAATAATATAATGTTATAAACAGATTCGATCTTATAGACCGCCAATTTAATATCCTATTCTATAACTATATTATATATTATATTATCGGCGCCGGACAAATTGAATCGACAATTTTAGTTGGTACCTACCTACCTATAATACCTAGTATTAAATTTATTGTTATAACGATAACAATCATGTAACCTCTCAAGTTTACAATCAAAGACTGGAACCGTGCCGAAAAAAACTTGAACTTTATTGGAACCAAAATCTCGTATTAAAATTATAATTTTATATTTAAATATAAACAAAGATTCCTTATTTAAATAAATTAGTAAAAGATATAGTACAAAGACATTTTTCCTTGTGGCTTTAGTCGTTTTTTATTTTATTTTTTTATTTACTGGTAAGGCCGGGTTACATGCACCGTATCGTGTGCCTTTTATCGTATTCTGATATTTGCCATTGTGATCATGATATCCATGATTTCTAGAGTTGGGACTTCTGGAGCTCGATTTCTGGTCACTACTCGACAGACTATGTAGCTTTGAACCATTCTTAAATTATATTGGAATTGGTTAAAATCGATATTAACCAATTCAACATTAATTTGGAGAACCTACATAGCGGAGTTATGGGTTTGATTGGTTACGGGGGTGGGTGCTGAGTCATCCCAAATATTAAATTATAGAAGCCCCCTCCCCTCATGCAGCTAATTCTATTTTTTTAATATAATATAGTTTAATATTATAATAAAATAGTTATGATTTGTCCTTGTAAACAATAACAGTTCGTGTAAGAACCAAAAACCGAAATCGTATAATATTATATTATACAGCTAATTGTATAATTTTCTCACTTCGTCGTCGCTACCGCCGGAGTCGTCGAACACCGCGTACAGTTCGATGTTCTTCAGGTGTATTTGCAGGTTGTAGTCACCCGTCTGACTCTGGTCGAACTTGATTGTGGCGCCGTGCGTCAACAGAACCAGCGCTGACAGCACCAGCACCGGGACAGCCGCGTTGCACCACCGTGAGTACTGCACCATGCTGGCGCGGGTCGTGTGCGCCGCGAGCTGCAGCGCGGACGAGATGATAATATTATAGAATCAACAAATTGTTACAATATTTATATGATGACCACGTTGTGCACTATACAATAATTTATTATAATAAATTGTGTATTGGCGTCGTCACGATGATGTACCGACGCGGCGTATTCCGTTCCGTCTGTGCGGCGATATCGAGCGACGACACTGCAGCAGGCAAGCGATAATATCACAGTACTTGTTACAATTATATGGATATCGGCAAACAAGTGGTCCGCACAGCGTCTGATGCGCGACTGAGCGTCTGAGCCGCCCGCGCCCCTGCAGAGGCCCGCGGTCCGGCTCGTCGCCGCTGCGATCCGACGCGGACCAGTTCGAGCAGAAATATCGCTTTGCAGAGCTGCTGCAGCGACCTCGACCGCGACAGTATACCTATATTATACAAGGCGATTCACCAATCATGTTCAACCCCGTATTATCCTTTGCATTTGTTCAAGTTCTGATTTTTCGAATATTCAGGTCTCAAGACGAATATTATACTTATAAATTAATAATAATGACGCTGTTTAATAATTATTTTAATTTCTTGAGATTTTTTTTAAGAAGAGGGTCCTGATATAAACTTAATTTTTTAAATGAAAACATTATTTTTTTACTATAAATTGTTATGAGCTGGTAATTTTTTTTTTCTTGATATATTGATGTATAAACATTAATGTTCGATCGGAATTTGTACAAATATTCTGTGGATTGAGAATTATTTTATACCATCATTTACAGCAATGTACCTATAATGTATTTTACAATTTTAATTTTTCACGTAATACGCCATATGTACATTGTTCATAATAAATACATATAATTGATATAAATTATAATATGACTAACCGCTTAAATTTAAAATAGAATTATTATAATTTGTATTTGTTAATATTGTTATTAAATTTGTCATAAGTTTGTAAGATATAATATTATTATCTAATTCTCATAGGTACATAAGATATTATGCTAAAATTATATTTGTCGTCTTTCTGGAAAAAAATTTAGCCCTCCCCCTCCCCATTTCAGATTTATAGCTCCACGTCTGCATGCGGGTGTGGTGACTTCACGGATAATATACCATGACAGTATAGTTTTAGAATATAATATAAAACGGAGTGGCTTTATAGGTATCTATATAATATAATATCTAAGTACAGCATAATAAGTATTATATACATTACACATACACGCCGAGTACCGAGTAAGGTTCGAGACATGATGTTAACTAAATATATCGATTTATTTTGAGGGCCATAAAATTTACATTGAATAATCGTATTAAGAATTTGTTTTAAAAAAAAAAAGTCAGTATATGCTGTATTTTGTAAATATAATACAGTATGTGCATAATGTATTGAATTATGGTAAGTACCTATATATAATTATAACTTATAATATGTAATACTAGTGTTAAATATTTTCTAATACAATACTTGACCTTAATACCTATATATATCATATAACAAAAAAACAATTTGCATACGATTTCAAGGGGGAGCTGGAGCCTCTTCATCCCCCCCCACGTATTAATTACATAAATAGGAGAACTAATGCATTGGTTTTTGTATATTAATATTCGATAATTTCAAATTTCTATCCTTGCAGGTCTGTTTAAAGTTTTATAATTAAACTTTCTTTTTTTTAGTTAACATTCGATGTATCATACATAATAATATATATACTTGTACATATTATTCACAAAAAGCATACCTTAAACAAATTTTTACAAATATATTTTCGCATTTGCTTACCCAATAATAATTATGTTTTTTAGTTGTACTTGTACTTATACAACATATCGTATGATTCCTGTTGTACATCGCAACCACTCTCTCTCTATATCTGTCTTCTTATCGCCTCCTCTCTTGTATATTTCCTATGGTTTTAAACCGTGTCAATGACTTTCGCGTTCAGATACCCCGCTGTGGTTCCAATGATGTACAAAAAAATATTCTAAAAAGAGATAAAATCGTTGTACCTACATACGAGTATAAGTACAATTAACAGTGCTTCGTGTCTAAGACTTAGCCAGCCTCGTTGTTGTTATATCCATGTACAATGTACATTTTTAAATATATAAATATAATATATTAGGTATATACTAGTAAATTTGTATATTAAATACAACTCAATTTCTCTCAATATACCTTCATTATTGTAATATGTAATGATGAAAGTATATTGTACATAGTATATTTGTACCTATTATATTACAGATTATTGTTACTACACATCAAACTCATCAAGATATGATGAACTTCTAACAACAATTAAACAACATTCAAACTCAAATTAATAGAAATTTATCGAATCCACTGCCACCACCATAAGTCACAAGATAGTATTTTCTTAATATGGTCGAGATTTTATATTATAATGTTATTTATCACTTATATAATAAACAATATTAATTTATTATAATATTATGTTATTATTTTATAAATACATATTATTAAAGTTCTAAACTTCCGGAATTGCTGGTCAAATCGCCAAATTAAACTCAGACTATATCTCTGCCACTATCAAATTCATCGTTCATCGTTGCAGCAAATCTACTCAATAGACTTTAGGGTGTATGAAAAAATAGGACCCGGGTCAACGAGATCCCAAACATATGATATAACAATAGGGATCCATTTGTCCATTTTTATGTAATCCATATTGACCATATTCATATATAATATTATGTAATATGCAAATGTACCATCGTCGTCCGTCAAAATGGGTCTGTGACAATACGTTCATCTATCCAATGCAATACTGGCCACTGCAGCCGAGGGTTATTTTTAATTTATAGAAGAAAGATAATATATATTGGTACCTAGTATTCTATAAATTATATTGGTATTTTGTAGCCAATCGAATCCGGAACAAATACTTTTCGCACATACGCCAATATGTATACCTATATATTACTCTATCAAGTACCGAAATCCGCCACGTAGCCGTTTGAAATGTGGGCCAAACTTGAATGCGTTTCAAACTGTGATTTTGTTGTTCCGTTCGGAAACTCGGACATTATTGTACAAGTTATTTCTCTTTGTGGAATATCTCGTGGTGAATGAATGGCAAACAGAAGACGAATCAATCGGTTTATATATAGACAGTCGAGACACAAGTTCGAGGTGTGTTTCGCCGAGGTGGTCGGTGGAAGCGGAGCAAAGACCATGGGATTCGGGTTGCATACAACGGAGCCCCCTAGTGATGTGTAATTAGTACCTAATTACATATTGTATTCAAATTGCAAATTTCTACAAAATTCTTTCCGCGATATGTATTAGGTACCATATATGTATATTGTATATTATATTGTTCGTTGTCCAATAGACACACACATCAGAATCGATTAATACTCGTAAAAAATGTATGTACAAATATAAAATACCAAAACTTACGAAATAATGATCATAGGTAGAAATGTATTACAAAGCGTATAATTGATACTTTTTCTAATTTTCTAAATTTATACTGCCATACTGGTGTGTAATATACGAGTTAAAATATATCCAATATTAAAGTAGGTATATTTAAAATGTATATACATAACTAGAGAACCTATGGGCAATAAGTATTATAGTTACTATAATGTTTCATACTTCCGTGTCTAAACCTAAACCCTTTCGTCTAGTTATTTTAAATTTGAATGTAAATGCAGGCCTATATAGACTCTAATCGCCTGTATTGTATAATTTGTATTTATGTATTTATGTAAAAAAAAAATATTCTCATCGGTTGGATTAGACTACGTGCATTTATGATCTATAGTAACTTACACAAGAACAGTTTGTAGGTAGCTACTTACTTATTTACTCACTTAGGTACTTACTTATTTTCAACAAACAAACAAGTTCATTTTACAATCATAATTAATTACTTGTTTATGTCAATAAACTACATATATAACATAATATTATAATTTATATTCATATAGAACCATTGAGAAAGAATAATGATAAAAATTACACAAAGGTACACCCGTATTCACAGTCAGATAATTTTGTATACCCTGTAACAACTATAACTGTAGTCTTAAAGTGTGCGTTGGCCGGCAATGTATTTTCGATTTACTTATTTAGCAAATGAAACGTGACCAAATATACCAAGAATATGTACAGAAATAATGGCAGACTAAAAAAATCGTCACACGACCGTCCAGCGTACGTGAGGAATTATTCTAGTTATAGAAAAAATTGTATATAAAATATAAATGTATGTTATGATTGGTTTAACAACGACGGTCAAGTTTAAACTATACACGCGTAAGTTCATTATATTTCGGTCGAAGTCTATTCGAACAATGGTTCTATTTTCACTCATAGATACTCCACCCACTATAACAGTTAAAATTTAAAATAGGAACGCAAATGTTATCGGTTTATAAAAATACGTTATTTACAAAATATAAATAATACGTAATAAATAAATAATAACCGTTAAAATATGGAAATATTTTTTAGAAAAAAAAGTATAAAGACATAAATGCTATAATGTATTACATAGGTATAATAATATGTAACATCCTTAACGTTAACGGTTGGAAATTTTAATATAACTATTATAGGTACCTTAAGTTTAAATGTACCTACTACCTAGTACCTAATATAAAATAAAATTAATAACAAAATGCTGTTCGGCCAACAGCCCTATAATGGCACAATGCCTGTTGGGAAATCCGAAATCGAATTGCTTCGCTCACCTAACTTGTGTATAAATTGTTGCTGAGAGCATTTAAGTTCAATTGGCGATATATACAACACCATTACGAACGATGAAATTATGAATGTTATAAATACATAATATATTTGGTTGCGTGGACGAATGGTTAACTACTATGGTATCATAAATATTAAATTGTAGAAAGTATTGTAGAATATACGTATATTGTCTGATAAGTGATAACGTATTACTGTTATTCGTTCGATCTATAATAAAAGCGTGCTCGTCAATATAGTAGTCAGTAGATATATATATTATGTACGTGAACGTGACGAGGAATGCATTTAAGAATTCGAATGGAAATAGATAAAATAAAATACCGGACAGGCAACGTATATTCTACATTATATTATAATATTATGTACCTACAGCAAAATAAAAATGAAACAACCTGTTTTATGTGGCGACAAGCTGATCTCAATATTGGTCGTTGTAAACACGTCTTTGATAATATGTGTCATATCACTCATATCATATTTCAGTATATTTTTATATGTTATGATTTTAATAATAAAATTGTTTATCCGGTCGTCCGATTACTTACACCGGACGCGACCTACAACACAATATATATTGTGTTTATCATGGTTTGTTATGGTTTATTATTCTTTATTTATATTATACTTACATTTATGCGCACGCGTGCTGCCGTCTAGCATGATTGTCTGGACTAACTTTTCTGGCGAATCATCCGCCACTGAGACCGATCAACATCAACATGGAGTTCGAAAAGCATTAATCGCTCTAATTTACATTAATTTTGTTTTAATCCTGTGAACGTATTTACTTGGTTATTTTGAATAACATGAACCATGAGGGAAATGCAAGTTAAAAAACGTCATCCACTCCATACAAGCAGGTGTGTATCAAGGCTGTGCCTTTGCTCCTTAAATTGTATACCTACCTATATAACACATAATGCAGAGTGCTGACCTACCACTATAGTCCGCCAATGCCTAGTGCCTACCACACACGCTCAATTACTCAATAGCCACCATTAGCACTTTTTCCGATTACTTAAACTATTTATAATATAGACAATAAAGTTATAACTGGCATAATATCGATTAACTGACATATACCTAGCCCCGGAAAATCTTAAAAACCTCCTAATAAAATGATAAATGAAATTGTAAAATCTATGGAGAGTATAAAAATTAACGAAAATAAATCTACTCATATTTCTTTAATCTTTGTCTAAAAAAAAGTCAAAATTCCTTTTTGTATCACTAGACTTCACCCACACCACCACGTATTTTTATTCTAGTATAACATATTTGCTTATTGAATAATAATATGGAATACAGCTTATACATAAACTATTATATAATAAAAAAACTGCGATTGTAATTTTTTTTTCTTTTATCCATCATTTGACAAATTATTATATTATTATATACCTATGCGGCTATTGCACAAAAGATAAAAGTTTAAAAGTGTATTCTGAAACGATGAATCCATCACCACACTATACCCTGTTCAAAATAAGAAGCGACCTGATTTACGCTTGAAAACCGGTTTTACTAGTGGCCGCCTGAATCGCTTCTTAAAATGAACAGACTATATATAGCTATATAATATAATATGGTAATAACTAATATGAATTAAACGAGTGCCTACTTAAATGACGCTATAACTAAAACATTATAAATTACAGGTGCCTATTGTATATAACGTAAGTTTTTCTATGTGTATTGTGTATCTATTAATGAAGCGTGCTGCTTGCGCATACCTTGCCGTCGGTAACAGCGTGAACGTAGAAAAATAGTAAAATATAAATAATATTACAATAATAAAAATAATAATGATGATCGGAAATTTCCTGAGTAGCGTGTGAAATAAATTTCGGACAACCATTTCCATGACTGTCGAATTGATTCGCGGAAATTCACGCGAGATGATGAACTCAGCGCCGTTAGCAAGTAAGAAAAATCACGATTTCGTGCACTCATAACGGATACGTTGGCACTGGCAGACTGCAAAATATATATAATATAATAATAAAATATACACAGCCGTAATAAAGTAATATTTTTTTTCAATTATGTTTTTATACGACATGAAATCAAAGTAATATGCACAGGATAGTTTTATTATTATAGAAGTACAAAATATAATTAAAGTTTGAAATAGGTATTAACATTAAAATTAAATTTAGTTAAATTTATTCACTATGTATTATATATTTCGCTATCAAAGTATTAATGTATTATGAGTTATGAGTTTATGACCTTATGATTTCTTATGCTAAAACGATTTTTTCTTTCACGCACTTACATACTTGATATTTACAGATATGTATTGAATCGCTATAGTACCTATGTACTAGATATAGTAGAGCTATTATACTGCGCATACCTCTTCAGTCTTCATCTACCTACACATAACACATTATACAAACAAGTTAATGATTTTTAAGAACGAGTTCTGTACTTAATTGTCACCTACTCGTTTCTCGGTAATGTGATAAAGGTCAATATCATGACTGAGTGAGTTCGATGACCGTCCAAATGCTAATAATACTTTTCTTAAATCTCAACCGATGGCGGTCAGAGCAACTATATAATTAACCAATTCAGTGTAAACACAATATAATATTATAACGGTACCTGTACGTACACAAACTACTCGGCTATAGGCAAAATTAAAGTTCCGTGTACGGTGTATTTAAACTGTAATTTCCAGTTTGTTGTTGCGACTACCGGTTATACGAAGACATGACCAGTGAGTGCGCTAGGGGAAAAAATACCTTCTAGATCGTTGCCAAGCCATCATACAGTAGCAATAGGAGCAGCAGTAGTGTAGTTATACAGCACGATGGTGGTTGCGTTGCAGATCGTTTGTGTTTCAGCAGTTTTCTGTGGGGCCCTGCATGCCGCCCCTACGGTCACGTACGACCAGAGGCAACAGGGCGAATTCAATGTGCAGGTGGATGTGGACGATGTGGCCATAATATTGTTGGGGAGCGAAGAGTTCGCCCAGAGAGCTATACTGCAAGGCAATAAGGTGCAACAAATATTCGGGCGCCACAACGGTGTAAAATCGAAAAAAAAACATCACAAGAAACCGGTGAACTGCAGCACGATGGCGACGGCTAACCCGGAAGTACCCTACAGCAGCGAGTCACCGCCAACATACCTTCCGACATCATCGCAGGGATACGAAGAACTGTACTCAACGTCAAGTCAAGACACAGTACAGGGCGGGGTACCTGTGGCTGCTGTAGCGCCCGTGTTTGAGAACGTTCCGACCGATCTTGATGGTCAAAAAGCCATCGAGAGTCATGCGAGTTATTCTGAAGCTACAATAACGCCGAGTGCAGCACAGAATGCGTTTGAGAAAAATGTCGATTCGGCGGATGATGTCGCGGTAAACTCTTCTGAAATGGTAGCCATGAAAACCGTGGAAAAACCTGCAGTCGGTGCGACCGTCGAAACCAATAATATTACAGAAAAGGCTGCAATAGAAACAATAGACAAATCTGCAGATGCAACAACGTTGCAGGCATCATCAGAGATTTCGAACGGCGGTTCAAAGGCTGACATAAAGACAGATGAGATACTTTCAACGAATTTCGAAGAAAATCCCGTAAGCATATCATCCGATGTAAAAATAATAGAGAAAATTACTAACGACGAAACTGTTAAAATCAACGAAACACCGGAAAAGAACACCGAAGATAAATCATACGAAATAACCACAGTAAAAATAGTAGAAACTGTGGAGATCGGGGAAGTCAAACCCGCCGAGATGGTCGTAATAAAAACTATAGAGAAACCTACGGACAGTGCGATAAGCGAGGGAATTGTTGAAGAACCTGCAGTGGACGCATCGCGAGTAAATGTTTTGGACTCGCAAGTAGATACGAAAACAACTAACGAGCCAACTGAAATGATCGCCATGAAACCTGTAGAAAAACCAACATTCTCCGAAGTCTTAAAGGTCGTAAAAAAACCTGCGGACGCTGCTGATACAGTAAAAGCTGCAGATATCCAAACTAGTATAACGACGTCGGTAGATTTGAGCAAAAGCCCTACAGAAATGGTCGCTATGAAAACAATGGAAAACCCACAAACTGCAGTAGGGCCAACAGATACAATAGAAAAGTCTGGAATTACAACGAGTACAAAGCTGGTGGAGGTACAAGAAGACACAAAAAAGCAAAACAGTCCATCGGTTGAAAATATTGTATCAAGGTCGGCTCCGAAACAGACCGAAATGGTCGCTGTGAAGACAATGGAAAATTCGGCGACAGTAAAAAGTGTGATTTCCGTGAAAACTGTGATCAAACCTGGAATTCAAAAGTCTACACATTCATCAAACAGTTCCTTGATCATGCGTAAGGTAGGCGATCGCAAACCGTTGCCTACAATCACGTTAGAAGTGGCAACTCCAAAAGTATTATAGGTAAAATACTAGTTGATGATTGTTAGATTTAAAAGATATTTAGATATTGAAGATGCTTTTGTCATTTTAGAACTATGTTTACTGAGTAATATAAATTAATTTAAATTTAAAATGTCTATAATTATTATTTGTATGTATAAATATATTATATTAATAATACTAAAATACTAAAATAATAGGCAATTTTAAGATAATGTAATATTGATTAGGACACATTTTAAAATATAATGATACGCTTACATTATAGATTTATAGATGGGTATCATCGTTTTACTTTAATATCCAGAATAGTATAAATATATTTATTTTTAGTCTAAAACAACGATATTATAGTAAATTTATATGTATAAAAAATTAATCTTTGATTAATATTGTGATATCTACCATCTACATTATGATATAATATAATATAGGTCGTTTATAGAATTCATACCTAAATTTGTTTTAATTATTATAACGTATAAGTCTTATAAGCTACTTTTAACCATACTAAAATTATTATTATTATTCTGTTATTTTGTTTAATAAAAATCATTTTATAAATAACTAAGCATAATAAAATAATTTTCATATTTTTAATCTATACCTATATTTTATTAGTGGCGTGCAGTGACCTTGTCATAACGGCGTAAGGTTATAACTATCACTAAAAAACGTACTACAGCTCCTACCTATTGTTTCTTCACTCAAATATTAAGATAATTTTTTCCAACACTATATTCATATGATACTATTATTGATAGCAAGAAAAATGTAGGTAGTTGGTACATTATTGTAAATATTTTATGGTGAAGTAATGAAACTACATAACTAAACAACGGATATCGATTTAAAAAGACGTCGCACCCGCATGTGCAGTTGTCTACACACACTTACGACATAGCACATTTTCGTTCGCTAGTTTCAATAGAGTTCTGTGAGTTTTGATATCAGAGGGAATTTACCTAATACCAAACATTTAGGTAACAACATTATCTGTGTTCTCTCGTTGGTATTTTACGATATTTGAATTTTTTAGTGAGTTGTGAGCATTTTCTAATATTAATATTTTACATACTCATAACTCACTTAAAAATACCAACGAAAGAACACAGATAATCTTGTTAATTAAAAGTTTGATATTAGGTCAATTCACTCTAATATCAAAACTGACAGCACCCTATTGAAACTAGAGAACGCCGTACGTGTGTAAGACGAAGACAACACATGCGGGTTCGACGTCCTCTTAAGACAACTTGAAAAAGAAACTAACAGTCTTTTTAAGTACTTGAATAAATGTATTTGAGAAAAGTATTAAAATACTTTTTAAGTATCTACCTAATTACTCAAATATATATTTTAAATACTTTTTCAAAGTATCTGTATTTAAAATCAAATACTAATTTTCAAATACTTTAGTTTATATACCTATTTTATATTTTTAATATTAATTATCAACACGTTAAAAAATAAACACGATTTTTTTACTGTAAATTATTCTCAACCAAAAATTCTAATACGAAAAAAAAATCAGATTAATATATTTTTATAGTTACACCAAATGTTAAGGTGTAAAGTACTCTATAAAATTGAAGTATAACATAAAAATTATTTCTTCAGTTGGGTATCTTATAATATAAAATCTGTTATAACTATAATTTATATTGTTGTATTTTTTTTACTTTTAAACTAAATTTTTGCCGAAGAATAACAATTGCCCAACTACCAAGTGAAAATTGATAACCGCAGTCAGTAATAACTAATATTTAATAACTATTAACTAATAAGTAATATATTATAATATATTTTACTACAAAGAACAAATAATAATAAAAAGAAAATTTTCGGTAGGTAATATTATGTTGTTGTTTGTACTTTAATTACGACCAAACGGGGAACGAACTGTAATCCTCATCATTAAACTGAGATGATAAGAAATCACTCACATAAATAATTTTTAAGTCTAAACATTTCATAAGAATTAAATTCTAAGTACTAACTAACCAAGCTTGACATTAAACTATTAAATATAATATTTATTTCCCGAATAAAATATTAAAGTACTAATATAAAATAATATTACCATATTAACCTTCACGCCACTTTCATTAGTTATTTGTGAAATTAATTTGCTTATTTGCATTTCGTTGTCTTATTCTTGTTGACATAAAATTTAATTGTAAATTACTCAGTGGATTTTGAATTAATGTGTCATTGAATCAAATGATCGATTGCAGCGTCAAATAATTTTAAGTATTGGTTATTTCAGCATTGTTCGGTTTCAATTACTTTAGTTCATTTTAAATATCTAGTAGGTAGGCACCTATATTTGCTTAACTGAAAATATACAAATATGGCAATTGTAAGAAATAAGTCTCCCAAAAAATGTCAGTACAAACAAATCCCAGCCAATCCAATAAGATTAATATTTGAAATACTGTTGTGCGTTTTACTTATAATACCGGCTGTTCTATGGGCAACAATAAAACTATTCCATAAATCTCCACGAAAGAATATCAGTGGACAAGTGGTTTTGGTGAGTAATAAAAAATTTAATTTGTATGATACCTTTTTATTTCTAAATGTTTGTCTGTGTACCTATATTCACAATTTATTGTAGTTGTTTTTTTTCACGTGATTCCTATATAGGTATTAACTCAATTTTTATTGTCAAAAATCTATGTTTGTTGGTACAATATTTAGGTGGATATTGGATACGCGTTTATGTTGTGATATATGCCTATTACATAGGTATTAATGTATTATTATAACAATATTTCAGTGTCAAAGCTTTACAAATTTAGAATTTACTCTATTTTACTTTCATCGGGTCATTGGGGCTAATATTTAAGCAATATATATTTGTGCTATAATACAATAATTCAGCCCACAACGACCGTCCCCATCCCCTAAATGTAGCGCATCTCCACATGGCGTGTACTAGAATCCTATATTATAGACCAGTGGTTTTCAAACTGGGTGCCGCGGCACACTGGTGTGCCTCGAGAATTCACTGAGTGTGCCGCGGTCTTTCGGAAAGTTCAACTATTCGTCCAAGAATAAAATTATAAAAATAAAATTAATAAAAATTTGTTAGCCCGTCATTCGTCAAGCACTCATTTCTAATTAAATGTACTTATATAATTATAATTAAAAATAATTTTGTTCATCTAATTATTTAATGCAAAAAAAAAGGTCTGTGTGCCTTGACATTTTTTTGTGGAGCACGGTGTGCCGCGTTCAATAAAAGTTTGAAAACCACTGTTATAGACTAATACAAAATATTATAATCAACTTATATAGGTTACCGGGGCAGCTCGAGGTTTGGGCCGCGAGCTCTGCTTGAGGTTCCACACGTTGGGCTCCAAAGTTGCTTGCGTTGACATCGACGGCGAAGGGTGTGCCGAGACTGCAAAAGCGATCAATCGACACGGCGGGACGGCCAAAAGTTACAAAGTCGACGTAACCGACCGGAAGCAAATCAGGGACATGCACGCGACGGTCGTGAAAGAACTGGGCCCCGTGGACATAGTGGTGAACAACGCGGGCATCGTATTGGCCCATATGTACGTCAATCCCGAATCGGATCAGCTCATCGAGAACCTGATCAACGTCAACCTCCTGGGACAAATATGGGTGAGCCCTGCCTATAGTGAGCGACCTTATAACCCGCAGCGCCTTGACGATAGTACTATCACGCCGATGACAATAATATGGTATCGTGCTATTTCCGTCGATTTTACCTTTCATCACTTTTCAATTAACCAGTGTCCAGTGCCATTATGAAAATGTTTAAGTCAGAAAATATATTTGATACGCCACTGTTGTACTAAGTCACACAATTTAGAGTTTACAACAGAGCTATTTTTAACTTTTGATTTTTTAATTCATAACTGGTATTTGAATTGTTTTCGATATCTGAACTGGTTTAATTATAAAACACTCTACTTACTTATATCGAATAATAAATTGAGTTCCCACTTCCCAATAGTGTCCACTAACGATTTTTAGATTACAATAAAAAAACTGTTATAGATCAATAGGGAATTACTGCCATCGATGTTAGAAAGAAATCACGGTCAAATTGTCGCTATATCTTCCATGTCGTCGATGAGTGGATTGTCTGGAATATCTACTTACACGGCCACCAAATGGGCGACGAATGGTAAATAATAGTAAATTATAAAACTAATATATTATATTATTATAACATTATTTTTTTTTTGTTTTATCGCATAATATTATGACAAAACTATTGATAGTACCTATTAGATTATTACAATTAATACTATTATAAGAAATATATTTTAATATTTGTATAATATTATAATATATTTGTCTAGGTATGATGGAGAGTTTGCATAACGAACTGAGAGCATTGAAATCAGCCGTCGTGTCGACGACTGTGTGTCCGTATTTTATAGAGACAAATCCGGAAATATCTAAACATTTAGAGCTTAGGTAGGTACGTTAAATATTAATTCATAATATGCACTATTAAAAAACAGAAATAATTAATCTTATATATGACTAAATGTATTTTAGATTACCAGAAATGCCCACATCTTTTGTTGGCGAAATCGTTATGAATGGTATACTAGAAAATCGAAGAATTTTTTCAGTTCCAAATCACTTCATGTTTCCAGTTAAACTTGTAAGGTATGTGAACTTTTTTCAAGACTTATTACGTCTTACATAATAGTTAATAGGTACCAGTGGCGTATTGACAAACTTATTGGAGGGGGGGGGGGTGTCATGTTAGTGAAATAATTTTATAAATTAGTATAAAATGCTCTTTATTAACTTATTGAAATCAAATTAAACTATTACAGAATCACTAATTATATTACAAAATCTATTTTTATTTTTTTATTTGCCAGTTCATCAATTACTTCATAGGTCTGACAATCTAAACCTCGATGAATCGATAACATGGCAAGGCCATTAAGTCTTTTCTGAAACAAATACACTTTTAATTAAGTATTATATTTTTTGGGTTATTGACAAATATTTACCTATTTACCTCGGATATTGAGTTCCTTAAGTATGTTTTTATTCGTTTTAATTCGGTTTTGTAGGCAGTGAATTAATTTTTCTAATCCAAAGTTTAAACTCCGAAATTAGAATGTTTTTATTATGATCAATTAAATCAATACCATAATGATGAATTAATTTATAAAAATCTTTAGTGCTGGAAGTAGTCATTTCTGAGAATAAACTACTAAAACCTACTAACTACTAAAAATTATTAGCGATATTAGTATTTATTTTAGATTCTGAGTGAAACGATGAATGTATTGATTTTACAATGATGTGTGTTTATTTATTTTTATTTTTTTTGTGTCTGTGTACACGATAAGTAGTCGAAATAATGCTTTGATTTTCGACTTCAGTATCTTGTTCGATTGGAAAGTGAATATCGTTGGTGCATTGGGAGGTCAAATTTTAAAATTCCCAGTACTTTTCAAAAGCGCCAAGAAAAACAAAAGAAAAATTAAGGAAAAACGGGAATTTTTACGCAAAATCGATTTTTCAGAAAATTGAATTTGGTTTTTGGTGTAACTTTAAAACAAATGACCGTGGATACATGAAATTTTCACTGGTTGTTTATAATTGCATTTTCTATACACGATAACATTTTCAAAATATTTTGATTTATTTTGAACTGTTTAGGGACATTTTCATTTTTCATTTTTTTTTAAGTTTATTTTCTAGAAATATCGATAAAATTTTATTTGCTGGTTAAAAAAACTTGAAAATTTAACAGAAGGCTCCTAGTATATTGTTTCAAAGGCAGATGAAAAATATTAAAAATCGTTAGTCACAGTTTTTTTTTATAAGCATTTAAAGTTCAAAAATTGACAAAATATGGAAAAAACACGAAAATTAGCAAATTACTTTGAGTTAAGAATTCGTAAAAATTTTTCTTTTTAAATCTAAGATTTTAAAACGTAATACAAGTTTACTCATAAGTTTGTCTACCTTTATCAATAAAAAAATCTCTACCGGACAGTCAAATTAAATTCAAATTTTTACAACATTGGATGTTCACTCGATTTCTCATGTAGCGATTTCCTTAATTTGTTGTAATTCATGAACGAATTACTATAGACATATGAAAATTTCACTGAATGTTTATATTAGCATTTCCTATACACCATACAATTTTGAAAATATTTTGAATCTTTTTGAGCTGTTTACGGATATTTTCATTTTTCAATTTTTTTAGTTTTTTTTTCTATGAATATCAATCAAGTTTTATCTGTTGGGCCAAAAAGTGTAAAAATTTAATACAAGGCTCCTGATATATGGTTACAATATCAGTTAAAAAATATTAAAAATACATAGGCACAATTTTTTTTTATAAGCATTTAAAGATCGAATTTTGACAGAATTTTTCAAAATCTCGAAAATTATTAATCATCGTAATTAATAAATTATAAAATGTTCAGTTTTTATAGCTAAGGATTGAAAATTTAAAACAAGATTCCACGTAAGTAGTTAATTCTCTTACCGAAAAATCTAAAAAATATACAATCACAGTTTATTTTTATAGTCATTTTATGTTCAAATTTGGACGAAATTACATTATAAAAAACCTAGAATAACTATTTTAGTTATTTTGTTGTGATTGTATAATATTATTCGTGGGTAATTGAAACTTCTAAAGTACACTATCATATATCTATGATAGTATCAGGGTTTTTTGTTTGATGTATAACGCGTTATAAGTACCTAATGGATATTGTGATATGATTAATTTGGAATTTATTATAATTAGGTACCTATTATAGGTCAATTTTTTTTTAATACCATAGATATGTAAATAATTTGTCTTAAACCTAGACTGACATACCGTCTTCGCTCAGAATCGTTTTTCTTATACAATGATATTACATCATTGAATTCAAATTTAATAGCATCCATTATACAGTGACCCACTTGTAACCTACTGTACAGCAGAGCGACATCCACTTACCCACCTTTTTATATATATATTTATTTATTTTTCATTAAACTTTATAGAATAAACAAACTAAAATTATTATTTTACTGACATGTTTAAAATTTGATGTTTTCAAATATTTTTAGATTCTGAGTGAAACGATGAATGTATTGATTTTACAATGATGTGTGTTTTTTTATTTTTTTTGTATCTGTGTACACGATAAGTAGTCGAAATAATGCTTCGATTTTCGACTTCAGTATCTTGTTCGATTGGAAAGTGAATATCGTTGGTGCATTGGGGAGGTCAAAATTTAAATTTCCCAGTAGTTTTCACAAGCACCGGGAAAAACAACATAAAAATTAAGGAAAAACGGGAATTTTTACGCAAAATTGATTTTCCAAAAAATCGATTTTGGTTATTGGTGTAACTCTAAAACAAATGAACGTATATACATGAAATTTTCACTGGTTGTTTATATTTGCATTTTCTATACACGATAACATTTTCAAAATATTTTGATTTATTTTGAACTGTTTAGGGACATTTTCATTTTTCGTTTTTTTTTAGTTTTTTTTCTAGAAATATCAATAAAATTTTATTTGTTGGTTGCGAAAGCTTGAAAATTTAATAGAAGGCTCCTAATATATTGTTTCAAAGGCAGATGAAAAATATTAAAAATCCTTAGACACAATTTTTTTTTATAAGCATTTAAAGTTCAAAAATTGACAAAATATGGAAAAATCACGAAAATTAGCAAATTATTTTGAGTTAAAAATTCGTAAAAATTTTTATTTTTAAATCTAAGATTTGAAAATCTAATACAAGATTACTCATAAGATTGTCTACCTTTATCAATAAAAAAATCTCTACCGGAAAGTCAAATTAAATTTTTATGAGCGTTTGAAATTCAAATTTTTACAACATTGGATATTCACTCGATTTCTCATGTGGCAATTTCCTTTTTTTGTTGTAATTAAAAAACGAATTACTGTAAATACATGAAAATTTCACTGAATGTTTATATTAGCATTTCCTATACACCATACAATTTTGAAAATATTTTGACTCTTTTTGAGCCGTTTACGGACATTTTCAGTTTTCAATTTTTTTAGTTTTTTTTTTCTATAAATATCAATTAAGTTTTATCTGTTGGGCCAAAAAGTGTAAAAATTTAATACAAGGCTCCTGATATATTGTTACAATATCAGTTGAAAAATATTAAAAATACATAGGCACAATTTTTTTTATAAGCATTTTAACATCGAATTTTGACAGAATTTTTCAAAATCTCGAAAATTATTAATCATCGTAATTAATAAATTATAAAATGTTCAGTTTTTATAGCTAAGGATTGAAAATTTAAAACAAGATTCTACGTAAGTAGTTAATTCTCTTACCGAAAAATCTAAAAAATATACAATCACAGTTTATTTTTATAGTCATTTTATGTTCAAATTTGGACGAAATTTCATATTAAAAAACCTAGTTATTTTGTTGTGATTATATAATATTATTCGTGGGTACGGGGTACCTACTTGAAACTTCTAAAGTGTACTATTATATATCTATGATAGTATCAGGGTTTGTTATTGATGTTGATGTATAACATGTTATAAGTACCTAATGGATATTGTGATAATGTGATATGATTAATTTGGAATTTATTATAAGTCAATTTTTTTTTTAATACCATAGATATGTATATAATTTGTCTTAAACCTAGACTGACATACCGTCTTCGCTCAGAATCGTTTTTCTTATACAATGATATTGTATCATTAAATTCAAATTTAAAAGCATCCATTATACAGTGACCCACTTGTAACCTACTGTACAGCAGAGCGACATCCACTTACCCACCTTTTTTTTTTTTAATACATAAATACGTAGGTATTATAGGTACAACATATTTTAAACGGTAATAACAAATTTTGACTAATTCATATTTCAATTATTTATACAGCGTGTTTCTGAAATGAATGAGGAAACTAGTATATGCGTACTCAGTGTGATGACCCAATGATGATTTTTTTGAAAATTTTTTTCTACCTTAAAAATCTGGGTTTTTTCAATTTATTTTTAGAACATTATCTTAAATGTAAAAATAAATACTCAAGTTGTATTTTTTGTAAAAATCTCATACGAATCGAGGTGTCACATCATTTTTGAGCTTGTCGCGCGTTTTTCACGCTCGAACCGCCGATTAAAAAAAATGGTGTGGCACATCGATTTATATGAGAAAACTACAAGATAAACAGTGGTGATAGTTATTTGTTGAAATTTAACATACACGATTAATTAACACATAAATTCGATCATTTAAGACTCTGTTAACCCTAATTATGTTATTATTTATCATTTTTATTAGTCGACAATGTAAAACAATGTGTTAATTAATCGTGTATGTTAAATTTCAACAAATAACTATCACCAATGTTTATCTTGTAGTTTTCTCATACAAATCGATGTGCCACACCATTTTTTTTTAATCGGCGGTTCGAGCGTGAAAAACGCGCGACAAGCTCAAAAATGATGTGACACCTCGATTCGTATGAGATTTTTACAAAAAATACAACTTGAGTATTTATTTTTACATTAAAGATAATGTTCTAAAAATAAATTGAAAAAACCCAGATTTTGAAGGTAGAAAAAAATTTTCAAAAAAATCATCATTGGGTCATCACACTGAGTACGCATATACTAGTTTCCTCATTCATTTCAGAAACACCCTGTATATTTAACCTAATAAATCGGTCAACTATCTGATAAACCTTTACATCATTTATTTAATTTGTCTCTATCCAGTGGAACATTTCCTCTTTGTTGGAAAAAATCTTTCATTTCTCCCATATATAAATCAGGTGATAAACAAAATGTGAAAAATTATAGGCCAGTTTCGAAAATGTCAATTTTGCCAAAAATGTTTGAAGCTATTATCTCAAAAAAATTATCAAATTTATTGTGTAATAATATAAGCTTATCTCAACATGGATTTGTACCAAAACATTCGATTCAAACTAATTTATTATTATATCATAATTATCTTGTAAAAGCTCTTGATCAAGGCTCCCAAGTAGATACTATTTATACGGACTTTCAAAAGGCGTTTGATAAGGTGAATCATAATTTACTATATCATAAATTAAAAAATATTGGTATAGGTGGGAACATTTTACAATGGTTATTTTCGTATCTTTCTGATCGTACTCAAGTAGTTAAAATTATGTCTTATGTTTCTGATGATTATCCTGTCTTATCAGGTGTTCCTCAGGGCAGCCATTTAGGTCCTTTACTATTTTTAATTTTTATTAATGATCTCCCACTAGTCCTTGATTGTTCTATAAACATTTTATTATTTGCGGATGATGCGAAGATTTTCTGTACAATAAATTCTTTAAGTGATGCTGAATCTCTTCAGTATAATCTTAATAAATTTCAATTATGGAGTAAATTAAATTTATTACCGTTAAATATTGATAAATGTCATACGATAACATTTACACGTAAAAAAAATCCCATCTTGTTTAACTATAATATTGAAATGTTTTCTCTCACTAGAGTAAATGTAATCAAAGATCTTGGTATTTATTTTGAAAGTGATCTTTCTTTTAAAACGAACCATAAAATGATAATTAATAAATCGTTTAAGATGTTAGGCTTTATTAATAGAAATACTAAAGATTTCAAAAATCCGTTATGCTTAAAAACCTTGTATACATCTTTAGTTAGATCCAATCTTGATTTTGGCTCCGTAATCTGGTCATGCAAATACTTGACATATATAAATGATTTAGACAATGTACAATATAAATTTTTAAAAAGGATTTCATACTTATCGAATATTCCATTATCTAGGGACTCTCTCCATCTAACTCAAGATTATATTGGCCTTGTTTCTCTTTCACTTAGACGGAAATTAACTGATATTATGTTTGTCTATGATCTTATTAATTACAATATCATGTGTCCCGAATTGTTGTCTGAAATCAGTTTTCGAATTCCACATCTAATTACACGTAGTTCAGATTTATTTTTAGTTCCTCATTATAAAACGAATAGTGGTACCAATTCTTTTTTCTCTCGAGCTTTAATTTTAGCTAATAAAATTTGTATACATTTAGATATATTTTTTCTCTCACGCAATTGTTTTAAATCCAAATCTATGTTATTATTAAAAAATATTGATTGATTAATATAAAAAAAAAAAAAAATGTTTATAATGTAATTATAATTTTATATTTTTATTACTTTTAATTCAGAATTAATTTTATATTATTTTTATCTGTATTTGTTATGTGTTACTACACTTACTTAGTTTTTAGTTTTTATCTAATATGTTTCCTTTATATAATTTGTAAAAGGGTATATACCCGTTGATATACAACATAAATAAATAAATAAATAAATAAATAAATTCAAATATAGTTGAATTAGGTAAGTATTATATGCATCTATACCTAGTACCTACATATTACATATTAATATATTATATTTAACAGCTATTAGCATTTAGTTATATATATAATACAGTTACAGGCGCAAATAGGGTTTGGATTGGGGGGAGGCTAAGTCCCCCTAATGTAAATTCAGCCCCCCCCCCCGAATTTATTATCGTATTAATGTAATTTTTGCAATGAAAAAATTAAAATATGACCTACGTCGTATAGTAGGTGCATAATACATAAAAATAAATTTTAAAAAATCAAGGGTATACCTACTTGTATTTTATAAAAATTGTTCAGAGATTTTGTACAGTCAGGGGTGGCTCCAGGGGGGAGGAGAGGCCTAGGGGCCTCGGCCCCCAAGCTGTATTTCTAAACAATTGTTTACTTTTAAAAACAAAATTACAAAAAAAAATCATAGAAATTGACAGAAAATTATGACTTGGTCCCCCCTAACCATGTTTCTGGAGCCACCCCTGTGTACAGTGTATACGTCATAATTACATATAAACGATAAACTCATAAACCTATTACTATTATCGGAAATAATATTAATAGTTTTAGTTTTAGGTTTGTGTTTAGCACGATAATGTAGACAATAGATATCAATTTCGTTTTAGTAGTTTGGGCTTACTTAGTATAGAAAAAGACAAATATTGATGTGGATTCGGACTTAAATGATTTTACAAAAACTGAAAGAAGAATTAATTTAATTTTGTTAATATTAATTAAAATAAAATTTTGTACTTTATTATTTTATATGATTGTGATTTTATAATTTAATTAAGCTTTTATCTTGCAACATTAGAGCTGTTAGTGATTATAACTAAAAATAATAATACAATGATAATTTTGGATAATTTAAAGGTATGGGGACAAAGCCTCAACTTAAAATTTTTAATTAAAAAATGGTAGGGCTGAAGCCCCCCTTACTGAAACTCCCTATTTGCGCCTGTGAATACAGTATGTCAGTTTATGATTCAAATTTTAACTACAATTATTACAACATTACTATGCCTACCTATTTATTATACATTTATTATTGGAATTTGTAATACAGATTACAGTTATTATCTTATAACTGTTTTAAGTAATAATGAATACTTTAACCATTACATTTAACCTTTAACACAATTTAAAGTATTTGGTGATAAATATAATAATTATTTGGTAATTGTTTCACTTTTTATTGCATTTATTTTCAGGACATTACCTGATAACTTGCAGTGGATAATCAACAGAGTATTCTATGTAAATATCATTGGATTCCCAAAAGATGTAGAATTGATGAACAGATATCGTCAGTAAAAATGTTGAAGAAAACAAATACTTATATTACCTACTTTATTACCTAATAAAGATATTTATGTAATTGTGTAATCTGCCATGAGAAAAGCGATTGTATTTAGTTAAAATTTGCAAAAAGCCTTGCAGCTTTTATCCAGTGGTGTCTTATGAGTTTTTTTTAATAAGGTTCCAACATTTAAGCAGGTTATTTTTTTCATCACCAGGTCACTTTTACGTCATCATAGTAAATACACGTATTTGATGGATTTATGTATGGTGTAGAAGCCTCGTGAAGGGTTATCATTATATTATGTTTAATATTTTATTGAACTAAATGAATTGGAAGTTGGAAGTAGCTTTTGTCATATGCATACGGTATACCTACCAATAATATACATTACCTCCATACATAATATAATATTATACACATTTTTGGGAGTGCTGCAATATTGTTTAATTTTCACAAAATGTATAAAGTTATATTTTATGTATATATACTTCCTATATTTTATTATTTTATTTTAATATGTAAAGATGTTATTGTTGCAATAAAGTTATTATTATTATTATTACATTATATAGTTTCATAATATATTTTAACTTTTATGCATCGGCTGTCGAAACGTTTTTAAATTTAATGGCAGGCCGATAATTACAATAAGATTTTCACATTCACATTCAGAAATTCGATTACAAATAGGGATTTTTATAAAATTATAATGACCGCTGAGTTAAAAGAATTATTGTGATTATTAATTATAATATTTCGTTAACTATTGAGTCACTGCAGCGATATGTGGTTACTAGATAATATATTTTAATAAGTAGCGTTATCACCTTATTTTATATTTGTCTTATCTTCTTTAGTATTTACATAATATAGTGACAAAATTCAATAGGTACTTACCTACGCTATGTCACTATAATTCAAATTTTAATAAAAATTTACCAATTTTACCGTCAATTTGGTAAATTCAGAGGTAAATTTACTCGGTAAATTACCGACAAAATGTTTTACGTAAAATCCACATCACCACTTATATTAATTTCCTGTTATACTCGTGTGATCCTTCAACATCTCGATATCAGATGTTTCATTTGAGGACTAAAAATAATTTTATTTACTACTCAAAAGTAGAACATAACTATACGTCTATACCAACTAATATACAGCATATAGGCCGTCGACAAATATAACTATTATAAGTTTGATACGATCGTATCGATTTCGAAATGTATAAAATGTATAGGTAGTCCTTAAATACTACGTATACTTACTATATACCTATCTAGTAAAACTAATAAGTTATAATAGCTTATTGAAGCAATATAAAAACCGTAACAAAATAAATATATCTACAATCTACACGAAACGTGATCTACAAACAATGTGTAGGTGGTATAGGAAGGTAGGTACTTAACTGATGTACTAGGTATACCTGGTTAGATACAATTCAATGAATTGAAGATATTTTCGTTTAGAGTGTTTAGACTTTAATAAATTGTATCGATATTATATTATTTATATTGAGGACATATTAATATCACTTCAATACTTCCGTTACGAGTTTGATTATTGTCTGAGAGTTTATAGTGGTACCTATACTCTATAGGCTATAGAATATAGATACCACATATAAACTATAACTATACAAATACAATTACCTATTATTAATATCTATCATAATATATGATATAAATGTCAACAAAACAGATTAATGTGTATAGGTAACAGGACATTAGGACATTAAGTACCCCACTAAGAACTATAAGTTATAGCTGGAAAAAAGTAGACTTCAATGCGTGGTAGTAAATTTGAATTATGAGAATAGATAGATCTGCTTCAAAACACTGTTCTTCCATATGCAATTGTACTGTAGATGTAAGAAAACATTTTTATTTTTTAAATTATGTTGTAGGAAAGAAAAATTTTAGACAAATTGTATATACGGTATAATTTATTAATATAGGTATATCTTCGTACATAGGTATAAAACACTAAACAAAATAATAAGGTATCAACGAAAATATTATGATTTTTTAGTTGTGGCATAGGTAGTGATAGACGATAATGTACAGATATTTAAAGACCTACTATTGTTTGTGAGTGCTGATACAGTTTTTAATTAGTTAATTACATTCTTATTGTTATAATTATAATTGAGTAAACTAACATGGATAGTAATAAAAACAAAATATAAATAAGTCATAGTCATAGCTATAATGGATTGATTAAATTAAAAACCAAAATATGTTATTATAACTTATACAGGGGTCCCGTGAGGATTTACTCATTGCGATATCTCCTGAAATAATAGAGATATCGTAATTCTGTTTTCTTACTAAGACTCACAGAGGTAAGCACTACAAATAACTAATTTTTTATTTTTTTTTTATGTTTTGGTAAAAAAGTTAAAAAAATTATTTTTTTAATTAATTATTTAAAAAAATATTGAAGATTGCCATTTTGTAGAGTTCATTTTTCTGAAAATATTGACGTTTCAACATTTTAATTTCATTAATTTCCTGATTTTTAATAATTTTTTTAATTAATAAGTAAAACGGCAAAAAACCGGTTTTTGTCCGGGCGGCGAGTCCCCCTCTACGGCTAATAGGTAAATCCTCACGGGACACCCTGTATATAACGTTATACCTATAATAGTTTCAGGCTCGTATTTGATCATCCATACCCACAGTGCTGAATGCGAATCACGATTTAAGACAGGTACCTAGGTAGGTATAAGTACTAGATACTATATGCTACTATCAGGGCCGGATTGGTTAGGCGAGCTTCCGAGAAAATCTCGGTAGTCCGCTAAAGTTTGGGCCGGTCGTCGGTAGTGTGAGTTAGTGAAAATAAATTCATGTTCAAAATACGATTGGTCACCTATAAGCTCGTAATAATTATAAACGTAATTTTGGTCCACTGAATATGTAAATGGGCTCCTTAGAAATGAAAATCTCGATGGGGCACATACCAATCCGGCTCTGGGTACTATATTAAATTGTAGTGTTGAAGTAGAACAACTGATTTTTAGTTTCGTACTATAACATTAAAGCGGTCTTCATGTAATAAAAATATAGGTACCTAACTAGTAACTTGTCTGAACTCGTGGTATATAGCCATGTAGGCTAAATATGTAGGCTCTCATGTCCTTCTATTTTTTTTTTCATTTTATCTCATTAGTAATTCGCTTATTGCAGGGGCGTCATTTCAACTTTTTTTTGTTGGTGCCAAAATTTTTGCAGGCCACATAGAAAACTATAAAATTTTTATTGGACGGGGGCGTCAAGTGGGGACAAAAACTGTAGAATTTTTGTATAATTTATTTAATATGTCACTTATATTAGTGTGAAAATATCACAATATTGTTACTATTTTTGACGAACTATGTGTAGGTACTTTTATTTTTTAATGTATTTATTTTATATTGTGAATACCTGTGCATAGTGGTATTTACATTTGGTAAATAAATGTATGGGTATAAATCACTTTTATAATAAAATACTTAAATACCTAACCAAACCTAATACCTACACATTTTTTCTCCCTGCATACTCAAAATATATAAATATAGCTAGCGCCTAGCTCAATAAAACCAGAAATTTATTTCATTGGTATCCTTCTTCTCAATGGTGTTATATAATTATTTATTTATTTATTTTATCAATTATAATACTGTGGGACCACAAAATCACATCAAACATTCTTGGAAATTACACATTAGTACCTACAGTACATTTTTTTTTTTTTAATACTGAAAAAATATAAAATATATATAATATAAAACACTTAGGTATATCGGAGCTTATATTTCTTGTTGGCAGGCAAAAGAAGACATATTAAGAACAGTTGGTGTAAATGTACACCCTGCACCCCCCCCCCCCAAACAACACCCTTGGCTTATTGTATACCTATAAAATATACAGATACCTAATAAATAAACATTAATTTGTGATAAAAAAAACCTGTAAGAATAACTGAAAATATAAGATATAGTATAACTGTATAAGAAAATACAATTTGCATTCACTCCCAAATTTACAATCATTAGGTAGTATCTAATCAAATTCAAATACAAGTGTTGCACTCCGGAAAATCAGAAAAAATAGCTAGGTAGGTACTGAATTATTAGAAGTCTGTGTTCTACCAAAGTACAAAGCACCAAGTACCAAAGAACAGTGGTGTGTTGAAAAACCCTATATAATCTTGTTTATGCAAAAGATATAGATACTTCAGATTAACTTCAAAATTGCATATGGTTCTATTTCATATTTTATATCATTTTAATATGAAGATTAATGACTACTGTAGAGTGCAGAGGCGGATCCAGGGCTTAATTTTTTTTTGGGGGGGGTGGGGGGTGCGTGGGAGAAAAAGTACAAAAAGTTCCAAAATTTGCTAAACACAGTGTAAAACAAAGGAAAATTACGGCGATTGGGAGGGGCAAATCCCCTGGATCCGCCACTGACTGATTGTGTAATATGTATAATTTATAGGGTACCTAATGGCTATTGGCTAACGGCTATACGAATATAGTACTATACAGTAGGTATACAAATATACGTCTATACATATATGATATATAGTAGTATATATTAGTTTACACATGAAAGTTGTATTAATGTATTAGTAGATAGTAGGTACTACCACAGGGCACATAACAATAATTGTTCTGTTTCTAAAGTAATTATTACTATAAAAATACCTAATACCGTACTATTACAACTTATTTAATTTTATAAATATTATATAGCGCTATCTTGGTTATGAACTAGGTACTGTCCTCGATAAATGATGTAGATAATAATATTAATTATAATGGTGCATAAAGACATGTGTGTACTAACTGTGTTTACATTATTATCACTAGCTTATCGCTATCTATCCAGTTTATCTTTTATCTATAAGTTTCCACACATAATTTGTTGCTTACAGAATTATAGGTCGATCGTCAGAACCGGCTCAATTTTTTCAATTTAAATCGGCTAAACAAGTAAGCTTTATTCAGATTATAACTCATCAATTCCCCATACATCCTTTGGAAATCATTCAGAATGTTTTTAGGTCAAATTCTACGTAGCACTTTCCAGTAAGTTGTTCAAAAAAATCAATCAAACTGTATTTATAACACACATCTGTATTTTTTTTTACAATTATTATTCATCCTAGAAAAGTTGTCGGAATTACTCCTCATGGGACTACACCAACCAGTTTTTTAACACCATCAGCATTAAACTCGTGGTCTATTGACTTTGTTCGCACAAAAACACGTCATCATTTCCCTCGACCCAATGAAGCAAAACGTATTAAAAAACATGGTTGGTGGACAAGGATGGCGACAAAAGAGGGACGCAGAGTACTGCAGCGCAGAATACTCAAAGGACGATATGTCCTCAGTCATTAATTTTATTTTTTTACTCATGTTAAAATAATTAACCGTTAGTTTTTGGCAATTATGTGCTCATCATTTTTTTAGACTAAAATAAAATTTAAAAAAAAAGAATAATAACCATTTTCTCGTAGAGTCATTTATTTGTATTTGAAATATCTAGAATGTTGTAATATGCCTTTATTATTTATCATTTTTATGTTAGTGATATTGAAATCTTTTGGATGTCGTCCGTTGTGCTTGATGCGCTGTTTTAGTGAAGCAATTGAAGTTAGTAAAATTAAACGAAAACATAGTCGAAATGTCAATTATTACGTGCCTTTACTTTCAGAAGTGAGGCGAGAGGTAATTTTAATAAACTATATTTCTGTTATTGCATCTAATTAGATAACTATTTTTAGTCTATTAAAAAAATTGTTTCTTTACAAATGTCTGGTCGATATTTGAGTTGTACCACTATACTCAGAGATGGTAACATTCTTAAAGATTGGAAAATGCTTTACATGCCGGAAGAGATGAACAAATTTAATTTAGATGATGTCTATAACTCTGTAAGCAATATTCTATGTATTTATATTATTTCTATTATATAAATTGTTTATACTCAGGTTGCGGCACTCATGAAAGATTTACCTGAAAGTGATATTTACCTAATTGAGAACTATGTGAAGATGCCAAACAATGTGAATGTTGCTGGTGCCAATTTATTTTACGTTAAACTACAAACACTTGCTATGCTAATTGCTCTTATAAACAGCGGCCAAGCTGTATATACCTCAGATAATACTCGTAAATATTTACCAATAGATGTTATTCTACAACAATGTTTCACAATTTTTTTAATATTTTAGAAGAATCTATGAACAAAGTGGTACTAATGAAAGCGCGTTTGCACGCCAGACTATTTCGAATTATTGTTGGTACAGAAATCATTTCATCGCAAGATATAACTGAAATGATGCTAAAAGGCATCTTCCCTGAATATATTACACCTGTTGTACCAGCAATTGATGCTATTTTAACTTATAGATCAGTTAAAGAACCAATTATAAGAGAACTTATGTCCAATGGCCTAATGTTAGCTATGTCTTTCATTGATCTGGTACTGAATTCAAATCCAAAAAGTATGCAAGCACTTAATGAAAGTTCTAAGAGGAAATTAAAAACCACAAAAAAGTTATAATTTTAACTCATTTTAATGATAATTTAATGAAAATATAAACACATATTTGACTAGAAATTTCATTTTTAAATAAACAATGATCTTAAAAAAGTATACATCTCAATTTTTAGTTTATTCAGTCTATTCAGATAAATAAATGAATGAATTTATGAAAGGTATTAAAATTAATTGAATTGCTAGTGTAATAATTAATATATGATAAAAAGAACATTAATTAGCTAGAGTAAAAATAAAAATATTAGTAAATGTACATTATTAAAAATATATGAGAATATTAATTGTAACCAATAATTTGATTATTTGAAATATTGAGTTCATTAAATGTTTAAAACAAATTTAGTCTGATATTGTTCATAGCGTAATTCTCCTCATGTTTCTTCTTTATATGACGATTTAAATCGTTTTTCTGTTGATAATTTTTATGGCATATCAAACAGTTGTAGGGCTTTTCCCCAGTGTGTACTCTCATGTGTATACGAACCTTTTCTGGCCGGCTAAACTTACGCAGGCAGACTTCACAGCTGTATTTTTTTTCGTAGTGTACAACTTCATGCTGGCGTAATGTTGACAAGCATTTAAACGAAGAACCACAGTTCATACACTGGTAAGGCCTTTCTCCGGTATGTTGACGCTGATGTACACTCAACTGAGACTTGTTTGGCAATTGTTTACCGCATGTCTCACATATTAAGCATGTAAAATGAATACGCTCATGGATTTGCCTTGATGCTTCATGTATAAAAATCTTATTACAATATTTACAGCTAAAAGATGAAGATTTATCAGATAGGTTGTAAATAAGTGCCCACTCTTTGGAATGTGGTATGTCATGTGTCTTAATGTGGAGTATAAGACTTGCCAAACTGTTAAAGCTGAGCAAACATAAATCACATGGATAGTATGGGTGTTCAGCTTTAAAATGTAATTTTACATGGTTTTCAAATTCCAATAAATTGGCACAGCGACGAAAACAATGATGACAATCCAAGTCTTTCAAGTTATGGTTTAACAGAATATGGCGTCTCAATTCTGTACCTATATAATAAAAACAATTAATAATTTTACAATAATTAGTTGTATTATATTAGTACTTAGTAGTAAGAGGTTATAAAATACTATAAAACTGTAATGGGGAAAAACTCTTATTATATTAATGCTCACCACAGGTAAAAATATTTGTACAACGTAAACATTGTATTTGATTAGTACTTGTAAACGTATTACGGGTCGAATGTATAGTATTTTCAGTATCATGTTCCTTCATATTATTGCCAAACTCATTTTCTTTATTGTTATTTTCCTAAACAAATATATTATTAGTTGAATGATACTTAAATGTATTGATGTTTTAACAGTTAATGGTCTCACTTGGATTATTACTTCATTAATATCAAATTCGATAAAATTATTTTGAAAGGTTTCAGACATTTCTAACGAGGCATTTTCAACCTAAACATACATATATGTTGCAAAAATAAATAATTAGAATATACCAACTACTTACATAATAGTTTTAGAGAATATTATTATTTATTTTTCGATTAACCTTATACTGAATGTTTATGTTATATTGAAATAAATATAATATCTATATATAAAAACTAAAATAATTATAACAATGGGGTCATTTTTTAGGGGGTGGTAGAGAGGCAATATGGCCATTTGCCCATATCTGATTTTAAAAGACAATGTGACAACAACTAATCTCATTGGCTAAAAGTTCTTCAATTTTCCACTGTTGGTGAAAAATCATTCTTAATTTTATAGTTTTGAGGAAATATATTATGGTGTACCTACTATTTAAGTTATTGTATAAACGATGTGATTAATAGTTGGAATATATAAACAAGTGTGGTATGTATTCCACTATACCAGATGATCCATTTAAGAGTACAAGCATTATTTCAAACATTTTTAGCTTTATTTAAAATATTGTTTTTTATAATTTGATGCCATTATTAGACAATATTTCTGAAAAAAATAATATTTTTTACTTTTTTGAATGACCATAGTATTATATTTTAAGTTAAAAAGTTTAATTTTTTAGAAATAATTAGTATAGACAATTAAATGAATAAGACATGACATGTATCCTAAGTAATTAGTAGTTCGTGTGTGTTGTGTACTTGTGTGAAAGAACATATTATTTTATTATTATGTTTATTTAAGTGCGAGCTATTATTGTTTATTCGTATCTGTCAAACGAAAAGACGCACCCCGTAATAGTCAAATATAGCAAATTGATTTTTGAAATTGTAAAATTGGTCTTTATAGGTCAAACAAAGACGTAAGTGATGTTGTTTCGTTGCTTCCCTTACCCCACGAAGCCACCAAGACCAATTAATTTTACAAGTATCTGATAATTTTTCAAATTGACTTTCAGAATTTTTAAATCATTTCCTAGTCTGATATAAAAATAATAAGATTGTGGACGGGGGTGTAGGTACAGATTGAATTTGTATGTTATATTGTTATACACTTAAATACAACAATGTTATATTTCTTCACTTGCGAGATGTCTCACCCGTATGTTGTCTCCGTCTTACAAATGCCGAAGATCAAATTTAAGGGGCAACATTTAGGCAATTTCTAATCTTGTCATAGCTGCCCGAGATCTATGTGTTAGTTGTAAATTATTATTAGTGTGAGTGAAATTAAATGCGGGTATCGACAGTTGCCGCGCCCGGGGTGTCCGTAACCTCTCTCGTACACGCATGCACATGTCAATAACTCGATAACCATATACATTTTACAAGAACATACTTTTTGTTTTGACAAAATTAAAGTTAGTTAACGTTGTCTGATTTTGATTCTGAAAAAATATTTTAATTCATCAGAAAAATGTCTGTAGAGTGTAGATCGTAAGAAACATTTTAAGTTGTTAATATTAATTTTAATTTTAATTATGATTCGAAAAAGTTCATATCTTCAAGTTTTTAATTACAGTTCACAATAATATAAAATTTAGTTTTTACAAAGTGCTTCGTATAATCTATAGCCAATTTTCTGGTGGGATCACTGGGATCAAATTTTTTTTTCAGAATCAAAATTAACTAACTTTAATTTTGTCATTACCTACTTTAGGTCTTTTCAGCTAAAATTGGCGGCAGTAGAGACTAGCGAGGCCCAGTTCTCATTTAGCATCGTTATTTGTTAGTAGGTACTTAATTTTAATATTAGAGTGAATTTTCAATTTAACAATTATTAAACTTAAGACGACACCACACGGACATTCGTTATCTCTGTCCTACAAGTGCGTAACATAGCAAATTTAATCTCAGCAGATAACGTTTAGCTCCGTTTGTTTAAAAATTATAGTGAATCGACCTATTATGAAACTTAATGGTAAGAACATTATCTATGTTCGTATGTTGGTATTTTACGATAGTTCAATTTTTAGCAAGTTATGCGTATATAATATAGTGTAAATTAAAAATGCTCATAACTCACCTAAAAACTGTATAATCGTAAAAAACTAAAATACAAACACAGATAATGTTCTTACCATCAAGTTTCATAAAAGGTCGATTCACTCTAATTTTTAAACTAACGGAGCTAAACGTCATCTGCCGAGCGTATATTTGCTAATGTTATGCACTTGTAAGACGGAGACAACAATAATTTCCGTGTGACCTAATCTTATAATGGTAACAAGTAACAACATATTTTTGTGTTTGTTGGAAGTGTTTTATGATATTTAATTTTAAATAAAGTTATAAAATATAAGAATGTAAAATATTATAAATTAAAAATACTCATAACTTGTTTCAAAATTAAAATGTCGAAAAACCACAGCATACGTTGTCACCGTGTTTTGATAATACTTTAATAGGTAAATTCACACTAAAATTAAAACAACAAAGCTAAATGAGAATCACTGAAATGTTATTTTACGCACTCGGAAGACGGTGACAATACATGCGGGTGAAACATCCTCTGATCCTCATAAGTCATAACTTATAAGTTAGAATATAATAACTTCTTACATTCATATTATCCTGTGGTACGTTTCCAACAATCATCGACATTAGTTGTGTAGTGTTATGACAATATTCAAATAGAGGGTACACATCTTCTACTTGATTAAAACAATTTTGACAAATTTTCAGTGATAGCTGATCAGCAGGAGACACCTAAAAATAAATATGCAACAGAGTAAAGGTCTATGATATGCAATCACATATTCACATCAGGGGCTTAATTAAGAGGGGGGAGGGGTGACGGGGATAGATCAGAGCCTACATAATATATGTACAAGAAAATTAGAGTTTCTTTTATAAACCGTACAAAATAATAACTATGTAAAGTACATTATATTATATTACAAACAAAATAAGTTTAATATTTTGATAATTTTATTTAATTTTAATACACACAATTATATTTTGAAGAATTTATTATAATATTGTATAGGTACTAAATTGTGTAGAATTTTAATTTTTCTACTTTTTAGTTAAAAAAAATTTTTTTACGGATTATTGTATTGTCATCCAAGACCAAGGTCTATACAAATTTTCAGAATTTTTCATCTTCAAAAAGTGCCTCAAATCGAGCGCGCAAGATTTGATCACAGACAGACGTGTAACCAAACTTAAGAAAAGTGTTAAAAATGTTATAATTTTGTGTACCAACATATTAGTTTTAGGATTTTTGATGAAATAGTAATCCCAGCTACCTCTCACCACTGCACCTACTTGAAAATTTAGTAATTATTATATTTATTTTATTTATTTAGTATATTGTGTTAAAAAAAAATGTCCCCCCACCCAGTAACAGATCCAGAAGTCACCCAAGGAGCATCGTATCCGCCACTGATCCCCCTAAGACAAATTCCTAATTAGTAATTACGCCACTGAATCACATAACTTAAAGACAGAAATATGACTACTTTAGAAACGAGATTATGGATATCAGTTTTTAACTAAACTAACATAGATATTAGGTAAAAATGTTCATACAATTAATGTATATATTATAATATATATTATAGGTACCTATAATAAACTAATAACAAGAAAAATAGTAAAACCGATAGTTTACAATGGTATGTAAATGTATATTATTCAAGTTAGGATAAAATTACTTTAAGCGTTAAAAATGAGTTCATCTTATCAGCTAAGTTCGGCGAATTTTCATTAAGTTGATTGTAAATATGCAACAGTCCAGGATTTCCACAGATACGACAAAGTTTCAGCATCCTTTCTTGAAAAGTCTATACATAATTAGTGGATTCAAAAATGCATTGAATATTATTATTAACTACTATAATAATAGTTTTTTATTTTTATTGTAATAGCCGAGCCGCAAGGGCGTCCGCAGTGGGAGGGGACCACTCCCCCATAGATTTCCTGCTAGTTAAAACAATTATATCCTAATTAAATATCCAGAAACCCCAAAATCTCAAAACCATTAATGGTACCAAGGTGTATTGATATTTATAGACGGTAGATATACTTCATGTCTCATGATAATTTGAGTTCAATTAGTTACTATAAGCGTTAAATGTTTGGGGGGCGGAGCGAAAGTGATGCTAACGCGGTTCTCGCTCCGGTCCTCGTACCTCGTAAAAAAAAAGGGTAAAATGTAATATTATATAATATTATTACTCTGTCAAACAGAACGCGGTATAACGAGCGTTAGAGCGGTAAATGGCTAGTCGGCGTGGTGCTTTCACGAGCGTGAATAACGCCGCGTTGTAACAAATTACAAAATCACGAGAGGTGAAAATAACGCTTTCTGTTTGACAGAGAATTATAAAAATGTTTGATTATTAATAAAAATTTAGGCTGCCCTCCTTGAATTTTCACCTGCGGGTGCCCTTGAGCCGAGGTATAATAATTGTATAGTTATTAGTTATTACCTACTTATTAATAATAAAAATAATAATCAATCTATATTATATATTTATATATTAAAAAAAGACTATAGTTTTAATAATTTATGTTATGGTTTATCCCTTACACTGTCTTTTTTTTCTAGTAGTTTGATCATCAACTCGTTGGTATGAATAGCTATTCCCACTATTCGATTCATTGTTGTTATTTGATTGACACAAGCATCACAAGCCATTATTGAAAGACGGTCGTTTAGTGCTATCTTCAATCAAAATTAAAAAATTAAAAATTATTATTACTTCTCTAATTCTTAAAATTTTAAATAGGTACCTATTATATTAAAATATATATAATATTAATATATTTAATTATATCAGAATAACAGAATAATAAAATGTATTTTAAATAAAAATAAAAACAATATATTTATTAAATATTTAATATGTACAAGTGTCAAGTACGTACATGTATTGGCAATAGTGTATTTATCTTTTCAGATAAATCTAATGACTGTCCTAATGATCCAAATATATTTATGGAACCAACATCACCACATATTCGACAAAGTTTTCGAATCTTATCATTGGCTGACATCTATAAATTCAATAATTTTAGCATTGTACATTTTCTCATTACCACTCATTTTATCGAAAAGTATAATAAATTATTTTATAGTAATTTTTTTTACATAATTTAGCTCCATAATAATGATAGTAATATTTTATTTACGGAATAATATTCCAATTTACAATAATACATTAATGACAGTAGGTAGGTACAATAATTATTATTGAGTTATAATAAAAATAATAGAAATATATTATAATATATCATAATTGTATATTATATTATATACAGCCATACAAAATGTAGCAAAAGTCGGTTCCTCAATTTAATAATAATAATCAGTTTTTCGGGAACCGACTTATGCCGCTCTCTGTATATATATTATATAATATACAATATTTATCATCAATAATATTTTTAGTTATAACAGTAGATAATGTATAGTTGGGGCATTGATTCTTACTCTAGGAAATTGTCAAATATTTTGATACTGATTTGTAGTACCTATTCCCGCCCAGAAAATAACCGAGTGTGATAACTTTAAAGCCCATATAGTGGCATATACTCAGGTTTGTTATTTTTAAAAATGTTTTAAAAAATGAGTCTAGCAAGCTGTGACGTAATTTGGTCATGTTTTTGGGGTGGTGGAATTACATTTTTATACATACCTCCGTCCATCCACCCCTTGTGTGTATTATAATTTATAAGTGTCTCTAAGTCCTGCAGTGCCGTCCCGAACAATTCATGGGTTGGGGTCATTGCGGAGTAGTTATCAATTTACCAACACGATATTTTTTTTTCTCGCTCTGCTCGAAATCTATGGCTTTTACAATATTATTAGGTACATGTAAATTATATTAGTATTAACTGTTTAGTTTATATTATATAAATATAGGTACACCTAACTTTATTTCGAATGATGACAAAAATATTAAAAATATACTTTTACAGTTCTACAGCTCCCACGAATCACGATGAATTTGCCCAAATACAACATTTTTAATTAAATGAAAAAATAGTTTGAAAATTGTAAGGTGTATAGAAAATGCGGTTAAAATTACATGTATCTACGGTTATTTTTTATAGACCACCAAAAAAACAAAATCGTTTTGTTAAAAACTGGTTTTGCATAAAAGTAACCGTTTTCCGTTAATTTATTATTGGTTTTTCTCGAGGCTTTTGAAAACTACTAGAAATTTTTTTTTTCTTTGACGCCGCAAAGTACCCACTTTCCTATTAGAAGAGATGCTGAAGTAGAAAATTAAAGCATTTTTACTGCCCCTTGTGATGACACACAAACAAACAAAAAACACACTTCATGGTAAAAACAATTCATTCTTCGCTCCGCTTAGATTCTAATATTTACAAAACCGAGAAGTATCAATGGACTACGGGTACAATCGCGCTTCACGATGGAAATTCGTCAATACATTGATTGACGATTGTAGATAAACTCGTCTATTTTTAGAATTCGAAATGTTGTCTTATAAATACAAATAAAAACTATAAATATAAATATATACAATTATTTTTTGACCAATAAAAATACCTACTATAAAAAACTAACGTTACCGAAAACTCGACCAAATGTAAAATTTGTAGACTGAATATTAAAATATCTGTCGTGGTTGTGGGAGGGGGTGGAAGCAGAGACACCTATGGCCTCTCAAAAGACGGCCCTGCCTCTAGTCACCTAATATGCCAATATGCGCACACGGAAACAAATAATTACATAATATACGACGTTGCTGATGTGCTCAGTGGTTTATTTTTATACCTACCACAATACAATGCCCAAACACGAACATTATCTTCTTGAAGAATAAATAAAAATAAAAATATTTGTTCGATAGTGTTAAGAGGACGTCGCACCCTCATGTGTTGTCTCCGTCTTACTCACGTAAGACATAGCAAATTTTCGTTCGCTAGTTTCAATAGGGTGCTGTCATTTTTGATTTTAGAGTGAATTGACCTATTATTAAACTTTTACGTAACAACATTATCTGTGTTCTCTCTTTGACTTTTAACGATATTTAAATTTTTAAGTGAGTTATAAGCATTTTCAAACATTAATATTTTACATACTGATAACTCACTTAAAAATTAAAATATCGTAAAAAACCAACGAGAGAACACAGATAATGTTGTTACCTAAAAGTTTGATATATTATTTCTATAATTAAGTACATAAATGTAGTGTGATAGTCTTAAAAAATAGATTCAGTAATGAGACTATGAGAAGGGGGATAAGACACCTACCTATATCCCCAGGTAATTTTGCCACTAGCAGCCAGTTAAATGAATCAACCAGACATCCGTTTATAAAATATAATATCATAAATAATACCATCAAAGTAAAATTAAGTACTTCATAAACGATATAGGTAACGTAATAAATTATACGTCAATGGAAAACTCTTATTATACAGTTCACCAATAAATTATACAACCCGATCGATACGGAATAAATACTTACGGTTGTCTTTGAGAAAATATTGACTGACATTCTAAATCATTATTTTAATGTCGTATTCGTCGAATTATAACGCGGTGAAACGTCGTTAGCGAATTATTAAGGCCGAAAATCTGCAAGGTCATCCAATATCTACGTTTATGAACGATTTTCGTCAGCTGCTCACTGTTATAAAAGCGAAAAGAAAGAAATGAACCCGACGGAGGACAGAGGAAAGATAGTTCTAATGGGCCATGGCGAAAATGATAAATAGCAAATAACTTGGTGGGTGACTGGACGTGTGTCAGCAATATTTTACATTTTGATTCAGTAGTGACACGCATGGAATAAAAAGTTATTGAGCCAAAGCATATCCGAAAATTAGAATATTATTATTTTCGACGCCCTTTGGTCTGCCGATGGAACCGTCCGAGTGAATGACTGCAACTTAATACTTTTTACTGCTGCCAACGATTCAGTGTGACCACTGACTGCTGTCACGAGATAAAATAATTATGGTCAACAATAACAGGTAGTCGCAGACAAAAATATATTTTTATAATATTATTATTATTACGACAGGGCACATTGTATAATACTTTAATAATAATTATTAATTGTTATTATTATAATTTATTATAGTCTGTGTTATTACTTATTAAAGTTTGTTCGTATGTTATACGTAGTGTATTTACTATTTAGTATAATTAGTATAATCAATAGCCAATAGGTATAATAGTTATGTACCGTATGTTAGTATGTATGTTATGTATGTTATGTATGTAATATGTTTGTATAATATAATAATATTAAATATTATATTAAATTCCATTGGTGACACATAACTTACTGCCGCGCTGATGGTGAAATGGAGCCAGACACAAATACACAATTTATTACTGCCAGGTTGCCTAAGACAATAATAATTTTACCTCAGAATAAGTTAAATACAACCTCGACACCGCACTACCAGTGGCGTAGCCAGGATTATTAAATGGGGGGTGTTGTAATAAGTATACCTACATTAAAACCAAGTTTTTACAGTTTTTGTATGTAAATAAATTAGGGTTTGGGACTTGCCTTGTTGCAGTTAAAATTGTCAAAATATGCTTAAATATTTGAAGTTCCATTTTTATATTATTTTTAAAAAATGAATAAAATATATTACAATTTTGGTAATAAAAAACTAAAAAATAAGTAGGTATTTAAACATGATAAAAATAATTTATACATACGGGTTTTCTAAATTCAAATATAGGTACCTCTATTGATTAATAAGATGGACAGAAAACACTATTGCATGTTTTGGACATTTTTAAGCTATTGTGAAATAAAACAACTTAATTTTTAAAAATACTGGCATAAAATACTAGCTGGTTAATAAATAAGTAATAACGAATAACATGATATGCGAACACCGTGATAAATGAACACGTATCTGCTGATTTTCATTTTTTCTTACAAATGTAGAATCTAGATGTCAATTATAGTTTTAACACAGTTTTGTCACAAAGAGACATAAAATCTTACGTACCATAAGCGAAAATAATAGGGCCAAATGTATAGCCAACCTCCACCAACAACTTTAACAGCCCTCCCAAATATTTACTAAATTTTTTTAAGCTTATTCAATTTTATAATAGTATGGTTTCAGGCTTCGGCCTCCCTAAATCTTAATATTAGCGCCTATTGCAGTACATAACCAAACATAATATTTTTTAAGATATTTTTAATGTTATCCACATTTAAGTTAAAAAATACGAAACATGCCAAAAATCGCCCAAATGTACACTTTTCATAAAATATTATAACAAAATATACAAAAATATGCAAATTCAAACTTTGTATTTAATTTTTCCATTTCATAAAACAAATTTATAACTTATCTAAAATAATCGAAGACCACGACAATGAAACATGCAAGCCGTCATGAACCTTATAAACAATACATTTATTAGGGGGTGATGTCAATGGGGGGGTAAACACCCTAACCCCCCTGGCTACGTCACTGCGCACTGCGCTCCCCGCTTTGCGACAGTGTGACTGGCAGTGTGTAGCCGATGATGTATAAACAATTTTGTTTATAAAATATAAAATTATATTTTATATCGTGGACCGTGGTCTACGTACTGCTTACTGAGTGCTATTTTTGTTATTAAAATCGTAGTGTTAAATGTTACATTTTTAATGTGATACCTACCTTATGTTACGCATTAGCCATTATTATTTAATTTATATAGGTAAGTATAAAGTAGTTGTGAGTTGGACTGTCGGAAGCAGGTCGCCAGGCGTCAACCGGTTATCGGTTATAATGGAAAATATGGCATAGAACATAAAATATAGATAGATTTTTAAAATGACGCTCGTTACTCGTTAGTCGTTTACGCCGATATTGTCAATTTTTAGTTATCCTGTATCCGCCATATTTATTATGCTTACATTTTTGAAAAACATCAAATTTGACACATATGGACACCCCGTAGTTTGTCATAATCCAGTAGTGGATTTGATTAATCTTCTAGGGGGCGGGGGAGGGGGGAAATATCCATTTGGTCAAAAATTTTATTTTTAACTA